TCCAGCTCCAGATCCACCTAGCTGTTCAAACACAGTAGATGAATAGGTACCACTTTGGTGAGAAGGTAACAGCGTTCCATGCGCCGCGGCATATAGTCATGGAGATGACCCCTGCCCTTCTACAGCTGGACACAACTGGACAGGAGAAACTTTTATCTTTACTTTTCCCTTTACCCAAATGTTCATCGCCTTCCCTAGTCTTCTAATGCTCTGTCGCCAAGCGTTCTATTTTAATTGTCCCCTTAACGCGTGCAAAACCAGAACTGTGATTAATGAGCCTCTTTCGAGATGCCAGCCACACTGTTAAGGACCCTGTTCTATCCACCTTCCTGTATCAATTTTCTCTCTCGTAGACAGTCAAACGGCAGAGTCTCAAAACGACTTTCCTCCATTATTATCGTGGCCGGAACATTGATAACCTGCTTCCTGCTTCAAATTAAAAGAACTGAACTGGCAGGAAAGAAAAGCAGGGTTAAAGTTTGTCGTAAGAAACGCAGCAGAGGACCAAGGAGGGAGAAAGAGAGATGGGGGGGAAGGGAGAGAAATGTCAAGTTTTGTACGGAATGAGGCGTTTTTATATCTCGGGCTCCGTTGCGTAATAATCATTTATTTATTGTTTCTTAGCTGAAAGCACCATAAACATATTTTAGGAGCAGGAGCAATCAGAGCGTTGCAGAAGCTTTCTCTGGTCAGAGTTTTTGCTGCATTCCTGGCTCCTGCTGTGCTGGTCATTAGCTGTCCCTTCCGAGGGCCTGTGCTAAAGCCGGCAGTGATATTTAGCAAAACTGGACAAAAGCAGACAATACCATACAATCAAGTCGAAGAGAACATTTCTGCCTCAGGGTTGAAATGAAGAGTCCTTGGTGCTCACTGAGCTGGGTGGTTTTCTTGCAGATGTTTCGTGACCCAACTAGGTAATGTCATCAGTGCTAGAAGGGAATAAGGTGGTGTGGAGAGGAGGAGGAGGAGGAGGAGGAGGAGGAGGAGGAGGGAGGAGGAGGAGGAGGACAACGACAACTAGGGGGTCCTTGGTACTCTCTGAGCTGGGTGGTTTTCTTGCAGATGTTTCGTGACCCAACTAGGTAACGTCATCAGTGCTAGAAGGGAATAAGGTGGTGTGGAGAGGAGGAGGAGGAGGACATTTATAGGATCCTTGGTACTCTCTGAGCTTGGTGGGTTTTTTGCAGATGTTTCATGACCCAACTAAGTAACATTATCACTGCTAGAAGGGAATAAGGTGTGTGGAGAGGAGGAGGACGACGACGAGGAGGACAACGACAACTAGGGGGTCCTTGGTACTCTCTGAGCTTGATGGTTTTCTTGCAGATGTTTCATGACCCAACTAGGAGGGTCATGAAACATCTGCAAGATGTATAGAAGGGGATAAGCTGTGTGAGGAGGAGGAGGAGAAGGAGGAGGACAATTATGGGGTCCTTGGTACTCTCTGAGCATGGTGGTTTTCTTGCAGACATTTCATTATCCAAACTAGATAACATCATAGGTACTAGTGCACAGTGCACTGATGATGTTACTTAGTTTGGGTAATGAAACGTCTGCAAGAAAACAAGCAAGCTTTGGGAGCTCCAAGGATCCTTGAAAGTGGTACCTATTGATCTACCCGCATTTGCATGCTTTTTTAAAATAATATTTTTTATTAATTTTTTTATATCTACAATCCATAAGCGCTTAGTAAAACAAGGTGTTCTCTGGTCCAATTTGCTTAACAGTACACATTAAAACCCCAATCTCCACCTTGTTTTTCCAAGTCTTGATAAAATACATCCCCTATTTCAACTGCCAGGTTGGCAGGAGCTGGGGCAGGAACAGGGGCTCACCCCATCACGTGGCGCTCAGGTCTCAAACTGCCCACCTTCCGGGTGACAGACCCAGCGGTCTTAACTCTTCATCCATTGCACCACCACCACCAGCCCCCCCATTGCAAAATCCGCATGGCTCATTCCCAGTTGGAATTAAGCCATCCACATCCAGATCTTCATCCACTCGTGATGGAAGGAACAGGAGACCGTTCCTTCTGCTTTCAATCGGAACAAAGCTGGAAAAAGGAAGCCGCCCAGTGCTGACAGACAAGCTCTTCCCTGTGGAGGTGCATTGTCAAGAAATGTCACAGCAGCCACCAAAAAGGAAAGAAGAAGAAGAAGAAAAAAAGATGAAGAGGGACGCAGTTTTTCTCCCACTGGTTCCTTAGCAGGAGCCTGGTATACAAGACCGTTTCAATGCAGCCCAGCTAGAGGCACCAGGAGAAGCAAATGCTCTGACATTAACTGACTTGAACTTCAAAGGAATACTCATATCATGAATGCAGAGGCTGGATTTCTTATGCTAGGAGTCTAACCGAGCTCGGCGCAGTTCTGCCTTCGATCCAAACACTTTTAAGATAGCCCAGGCACACGTGAGCAAGACAACGTTAAAAGGGCCCACGTCACACCCGTTCTATTATGAACATCCCATCCTGGACCGTGATCCTGCAAAGGTGGTCAAGGTTGACCTGGAATTTATGGAAGAAAACAGGAAGAACGTCTAGGGACATTCCCTGTCCTCCAGGTCATGGTTGTCCCAAAGGTGCTTTTTTTCAAAACTGGACTTCCTTGTTTTTCTTTTGAAGAGGTTTCGCTTCTCATCCAAGAAGCTTCTTCAGTTTGGATGGTGGGGGAAATGGAAGGATTTATACTCCTTGCAGACCGCTGGTCATTTGCATTCTTTTAGCGAGTTGTTGAGATCACCTGAAGGTTTATCTGTGACACATTAGGACACAGAAAAAGCTCCAAGTGGCCTCAACGAAATTTCCTCCGAGATTTTGAGTAGGAGGAATTAGGATTGCTTTGCTAGTGTGATTGCACTTAGTAGAACACAAGTGAAACTGAGGAAAGCCACAGTTAGCAACGATGAAAAGTGTTAAGCCTCTGGCTTTTTGTCAAAAGATGGACATAAATAAATTCCTTCTGTGGGCCTCTACTAAAGGGTAGCCTGTCACCTTCCCTTTTTATAATTCTTATTTTTTAAAAAAATGATAATCTGATTTCAGCATTAGCAGTCTGCTGCTCAAATACATCTGTGAAGCAGGTTCAATGAATCAGTCATTTAACTGGGCTTAAACAAATTCATGGAGAATGGGAAAGAAAAGTCAACCACTCATGAACACGGTACAGATTGCTCCTCGGGATCCGAGAAAAAATAATTTGTTTCTCCATTTCCTGGGAGTCGGAACGGGAACAGGTTATTGATTCTGCTTTTCTGCATGAAGAATTCCCAAGCAGAATCAGAGGAGAATATATGTAGCTCAGAGTTGAAATGACGGGTCCTTGAGGCTCTCTGAGGTTGGTTGTTCCCTTGCAGATGTTTCATGATCCAACTAGGTAACTTCATCAGTGCTAGAAAAGAGTGGAGTCTGTGGAGAGGGAAAGGAGGAGGAGGAGGAGGAGGAATAACAGAACAACATCCTGGCCTTTGTTTCCAGTTCATCTCTCAAAATGGGTGGGCCAAGATAAAGAAGTTGGCACAGCCTGGAGATAAAGTTGGATTGAAGCTGAAGCTTAATTAAAATGAATCATAGTTCAACCTATTGCTCGGTGTATTGATAAACACTTCTGTCTTTCATCCAAGAAAACTGCACGGTTGAGTTCACCCTAGTGACTGGGTGTCGCCCTTAACGCAAGGAGCATTTTCACCTTCCTGCTTACGTCAAGTAGTACAACTGGTGGCAGTTTTTAGAGGCTTGGGAGAGGGAAGAAGGGAGGGAGGGAGGGAGAGACATGTAAGCAACTTTCAGGCCTTAAATGGCCTGCCTTAGTTTGCAAATCAAGCTGAGTAATCAACTAAAGCTTGCTACCAGATTTGAGGGGGAAATGAAACAGCAGACTTTGCAATGCTCTAGATATCAGGGTAAACACCCAAACCGTCTGGATTTTAATTATGCTAGGGCAATAAATCATTTGTAGACCAAAAACAGTCAATGAAAGTGTGGGTCAGCAAATATTTCGGAGCTTCGGGGGGGGGGGTTAACTCAGGATTTATTCCAACGTTCGTTTAACCCAAATGGATCACAACAGAGCCTGCAGAACAACGACTGAAGCTTCATTAAAATTAATCCTAGAACAAACAAACAAACAACGACAACAAAAAAACAATAGCCGTTTCTTCGTCTCAACAAAGCCATAACAGAGGTTCACACGGTGGGAGGTGGAAAAGATAATGGTGGCATTGCAAAGCACAACAAGTTAAGTGGTAATATTGCAAAGCACACAGGTTAACAGGCTCCGGACACATGCACAGGCCCTGTTCTGTTAACAAAGAAAGGGTCAGCAAGATCAAAGAATCTTCTCTGGTAGCAAACTTACTGATAAACTGATGCTAATATGCAAACACACCTCCAGTTTCTAAGGTTTGGTAGCTTAATCTCTCTTTTTTTCCCCCTGCAATAAATCTGGGTCAGCAAGACCCTGTGTGAGAAGGCTTCCAACCGTAATATTTTCCAATATTTTCCAAAACCAACCTCATTCCCCATTTTTTCACCGTCCTTCCAGACTCCAGACCCTCTGCTCGTTTTGACATTAAATCATTGCCAACACCAGGTCGATTTTGGCCATAGAAAAAGAAAAGAGCTGACTCTAAAGAAATCTGGTTTTTTTTCCCCTCCTTCTTACGACTTCCTCATTGTAAAACTGTCAGGTTGTGTTCAAGAGACAGGGCGATGTGTTAAAAAAAGTAAAAATAACCAGAGTTGCGTCTTTTCTATTAAGCAAAGCTTCATCGGCTCCCCGGAAGTGCACTCCATCAATGGGTACCAAAGTGCTTCCACCTTCTCGGCGACAATCACACTTCTTTTCAAAGTGGAGCTTTCTAAACAGAGCTTGTAACTTTGCTATAACCCACATCCTCTTTGACGCACATCACTCCCAGAGCAAGAGAACGCTCACCAAATTTCATTCAGGAGCAAGAGAGAAGTGAAAGAGAGGGTGGGGGGAGGGGGGTAAGTGACTTACCCTGTAAGCACCACCACAAAATCCATCACATTCCAGCCATTGCGGAGATAAGATCCTTTGTGAAAAACAAAACCCAGAGCGATAATCTTTATGCCCGCTTCGAAGCAAAATATTCCAATGAAATACGGTTCGGTGTCGTCCTGAAAGAAACCAAAGGGCACCACTGTTACCAATCGATGGATTGGCCAAATAGAATATAGAATAGAATAGAATAGAATAGAATAGAATAGAATAGAATAGAATAGAATAGAATAGAATAGAATAGAATAGAACTTAGACTTTATACCACTTCACAGTGCTTTACAGCCCTCTCTAAGCAGTTTACAGAGTCAGCATATTGCCCCCAACAATCTAGGTCCTCATTTTACCAACCTTGGAAGAAAAGAAGGCTGAGTCAACCTTGAGCTGATCAGGATCGAACTCCCAGCATTAAGCTGAATTAGCCTGCAATACTGTATTCTAACCACTGCGCCACTATGGCTTAGAATAGAATAGAATAGAATAGAATAGAATAGAATAGAATAGAATAGAATAGAATGTAGAGTAGAGTAGAGTAGAGTAGAACAGAACAGAATAGAAACAAATTCTATAATTTTGAGGTGCCCTGGAATAAGGCGGAAGGATGGAAGGAAGGAAGGAAGGAAGGAAGGAAGGAAGGAAGGAAGGAAGGAAGGAAGGAAGGAAGGAAGGAAGGAAGGAAGGAAGGAAAATATTTCTCTCTCAAAACCAAAATATTTGATACTCACCAGCCTCTCTGACATAGGTGTCTTATCTCCATCAGGGAGATGTTGCTCCAAAGCCAGAACAATGCAATTAGCTATAATGGTAGCCAGGATCATATATTCAAAGGGAGTGAAGGCAATGGTTAAGGAAAAACTCACAAAGACAAGGTTCATAAAGGCACCAGCATTAACCAACCCAACTTTTCCAATACTGAATCTCGATCAGTGATCCCAATTTCCCAAATCCATCCTCACCTTTAAGCCCAAGTACATATAAAAGGGTTACAGTTAGCGTTTTAGGCAGATTACTTCAAGGAAAGCCTTGTTCTTCTCTAATCAAGCAGGAGATTTTCTTTGCTTTGGAGGAAGAGCGAAGAAAAAAGGCAGAAGAGAATGGAAAGGCCTTCTGCTTTTGATTGTTCAGGGTCTCTTGGTTGATTAAGCCTTCAAAAAGCAGCAATCAAAACTTTCTCCTGCAGCTATCATATTATTAAATAAAGATGGATATTTTTTTTTTAACTTAACATGATCTGCCCTCTTCTCTCCAGTTTACCTCCATCTGTAAAATTCTAAAGCCTCTCATTCTGCCTCGTGTACGTTTTTAAGGACCCTTTTTGCAAGCTGATAATGGCTTGATAAATATGAGCAGTTATTAAAGCAAAGGCTTCAGAGTTTACAAGCTGCAGAATGGCACCAAACCGCCCAACATTCTTGATGAAAGTTAGGTAGTAGCTGAACACAAGAACAAGGGAACAGAGCTCATTTTAAATCTTGATTTGTTTTAACATCTTCCCCCTCAGTTTTGGAAATAAGCCAGAAGTGGCTGGATTCACCCCACCCAGACAAGTATGATAGCAATGACAATATCATGACTTACAAACCACAGTCACCAAATTCATTTCTCAGATGCTTAGTTTGTTCTATGGACTTTGAGAAGAAATTATCAGGGATCTGGGGTGCCATTCTGAACTAGCTACCCAAAGGCCTCGGTGCCAAATACACAATACAAAACCGAGCCTGTGATGCTGGGAGAAAAAAGGTCTAGCTATTTCTGATCCGGATTGGAGAGAAGACCGATTTTGTAAGGGGGGGGGGAGAAACCCCTGGCTTTTCCATCGGACTTTCCTGTCCAACTTGAAACCTGACCTGACTTCCAGCAGAAGATCAGGGAGCAGAAAAGAACCAAGAAGAACATGTTTTCCTTGCTCTCTGAACTAACCCTAAACTTCTCCTCCATGGATTCAGTCTTGTCTGAATTATCCAAGCCAACGTTTGCTTTCCACGCCCACCCACTCTAGGAAAGAGAAGAAGCCACAGACCCATCTTGCAACTTTGCATGACAGGCTGTCTCCTTTGCCCCGAGGTCTTCCTGAATCTTGCTTCAAAATCCGCTGAAGCAATGTTGGAACCTGTCCCTACTATATATATTTATATGTGTAGACACACGTATTTCCCTTCGACCCACCCTCTTAGCCAATGTGAATTCTGGCTGGCTTAGGTGTGCTTTCTCAGCATACGTATATCCCCCCCGGTGTTTCAGCTGTCTAAGAAAAGGTTGCTGCAACCTGCACCCGTGCTGGGTTGTTAAGAGGAGAGCCCTTGTTGCTTGTCGGGTGAAAAAATTACTAGCTCTGTGATTTCAGATCAAAGGAAAACAACAGGCTCTTCCTGGGGAATTGCTTCGTGCAACACGTGCAGATCAAGCGAGGAGACGCTCCTTAGCAACCTAAACCCAATCTCAAGTTGAAAGTTCCTTCTTGACTTCAAGAAGGCCAATGTGGTCTCCCAAACTGGCCAGCTAAGAGAAATGGGCCATCTCAACTGCCTCCCCTGCTCCAAAGGCCAAGGGGCAGAAAGAGAAGCAAGGGGGCATGTGCTTCTCTTTGCACCCAATGAAAGAGCGTCTGGATTTAAAATAGGTGTCTGGATTGATTCATCAGACCCCAACTGTGATCTGTTCTAACCACTGATCAAGTCACAATGGACAGAAAGTGACCCTCCTACCAAGACACAAACTGCAGCATACAAAACATAACTCATGGCCTCCTGTACAAAGTGGCTTGTTTCAGCCTAGATTCCTTTGGCTGAGGCAACCCGCGGTCATGTTCCCACATTGCATTGAGCCACAAATTCAGGTTTCAGAAGTGACAACTTGCAACAGTTAGCAGCAGCAGATCCAAACTGTGTTATCGTTCACCAGGGGCAAATGCTAAGGTGGCAGCGAATTGATTTTTTGCATTTTGCATCAGTGGCAAAAATGCCGTGGGGAACGTGGGAATACCCCCTTCCCTCTCTTTCTAGACAAACAGAAAAGGTCAAACTGACACCAGAGGAGGAAGAAATAAAAACAGCTTCTTCCTTCACTCCAAGGGAGAGGAGGGGGGGGGAGATCTATTTTTCAAAGCACCAGAAGGACAAGACAAAAAAGCAATGGATGAAAACTAATCAAGGAGAAAAGCAACCCTAGATCTAAATTCCTGATAGTGAGAACAATCAATCAGTGGAACGACCTGCCCCCAGAAGTTGTGGATGCTCCCTCATTGGAGATTTTTAAGAAGAGATTAGACAACCATTTGTTTGAAAGGTTGTAGGGTTTTCTACTGGAGCAGAGGGTTGGACTAGAAGACCTCCAAGGTGCCCTTCCAACTCGGTTATTGCAGGAGCAGCCATACACACACAGCCCCATGGAACGGACGCCTCTATGAGAACAATTCCCACAACCAAAGTGGTCAATGGGGGCAGAGACCCCTCACTGTCCTGTGTGGGAACTCACCCATGCACCCCTTTAAAAAAAAAAAACCTCCTTTTCTTGCAAACCAAAGCAGAAAAGCTGTCCAAAGTGGTTTTACTTTAGTCTAGAGGGACTTCAAAGAAGCTCAGGGACTGGAGAAGAGATGGAGAGACAGACGCTCATGTCCCTTTTCACAGAGGCCTCTCGCAATCTTTACTGCTCCCCAAAAGGGATGCTTTGGGGGACCCCTTCCTCTCTCTCAGCTGTCCTACTACTGCTTGCTAGGAAGAGCAGGGTCCTCTCGGGCCAGGCCAAGCGTGCCAACAGACACGCCCATCCCCAAGGCTGGAGGACCTCCTGCCCTGACCCAGGAAAGAGGCAGCGGTTCTCCTGGAGCTCCACCCCACCCCGCCTTTTCCACATCCACACCTGTCCCATCGGGGATGGAGGAGGATACCTGGGATGACAAGCGGTGGGGGGGGAGAGGGGAGGAGAATCCCAAGCCCCCCACCCACCCACCCCGCCCGTCCCCCCTCCCGCAAGGATATGGCCACTCCGTGATGCGCTTGGCGTATTTGCGGATCGCGTTGTCCTCGCTAAAGATGAAGAGCGACCGGTTGACTGTAAAGCAGTCCTGCTTGACCGGAATGGGGTTGTAAAGAGCCATTGTCCGGGCGCGCTGCGCCTTGGTCTGCTTGTATACCTGGGGCCGCGGGCCCGGCTGGCCGGGGGGGCCCCCCTGGCGGCTGCCCCCGCGGGCCCCGCCGGGCCCAGGGGCGGCCCCCGCGCCGCCACCTCCATAGCGGCTGGGCAGGTCCTCTCCGAAGCGTGCCATGCTGGTGCCCCTTCTCCAAGCGCGCGGTGCTGGCCCTCGGAGCTGCAAAGGGGAAGACGCATCCCAGCGCCAGGAGGGAGGGAGGAAGCCTGGGCTTCTGGTGGGGCTGGAGGCGGCGGCGGTACTGGGGCTCTGCTGCTACTGCTGCTGCTGCTGGCGAAGGCGGGCGGGCGGGCGGGCTGCGGCTCGGCTCTGGAAGCAAGGAGGATGCAAGGCGCCGCCGCCGTCGCCGCCGCCGCGCTCAGGGGCGAGGCTCGGCGAGGCCGCCGCGCGCCCCAGGCGGAGGCGAGGCCGGGGTCTCCCAGCTCCGGCTGGAAGCCGAGGCGATCCGCATCAGCTCGCCCCCCGGGAGCCTCCTTTCCTGCACCCCAGCATGGCGCGGGCGCGCAGAAGGCAGCCCGGAGCTGGGGGCGAGCCGCAGAGCCTGGCGAAGGGAGATCCAGAAGGGGCTGGGAGCTACTTAGCTTGCGTGGGCCTCTCTCCTCCTCCTCCTCCTCCTCCTCCTCTTCTTCCTCCTTCTCCCTCTTTCCCGGCTCGGAGGATCGGTAGATGCTCTTCTCTCCTCCGCTTCCCGGGGCTTTTCTCTCGTGGGGGTCGCCGACAGGCTTGGAGAGAGCGAAATGGAAACGTCAAGAGCAACCGGTTAGTGAACCTCGCCCCTCTTTAAAAAAAAAAAAAAAAGGAAGAAGAAGAAGAAGGGGAAAAAAAAAAAAGCACAGCCAGCTGACAGCCGGGAAGCCAATCAGCGATGCCAGCTCCACCCGACTCCTCCAGGATACCCAACGAAGCCCCATATCAATAACGGGGAAGGGAGAAGAAGGACCCGCCCCTACTCGAACGGAGGGGGGGTCGTCTTTCGAGAGCCAACCTTTCCTTCCCACTCAACACCCATCCCTTTCCTTTCACCATGTCGCCTCCCCACCTGCTTGTGGTGCTAAGCTTCATGGAGCCCGGGGGTGGGGGGGATGGGGATGCTGAAAAAGAAAAAAAAACCACGAAGGATGGGGTCCACGAGACCCACGCAAGTCTTGGGGAAGGACCAAAGGAAGGAGACCACTGGGTGAAGAACAAGTTGGCTAGGAAGAGGCTGGAGAGAGGGGTGTCTTGGCTCCGGGAGCTGTCCAGGTGCTGAAACCAAGGTGCCTGCCCATCTTTTCCAAACGGAAGAGGCTGCTTTCCCACTTTTCTTTCGATTTTCCCAGCTTCTCGCTTTCCTAAAGGGTTGGTTTTCCTAGAGTGCCGAGGGAAAGGAAGGCCCAAAGAACGTGAGATGCTTCCGCTCGCAGCCCGTTCTGAAGAAATGCCCAAGTCCCTAAAGAGTTCTTGGCGAAAGTTATCTTAAGGCCGGCCATGGCTGGCTTGAACCGCGCTTTGTGGGATGAGCTACAGTGACCAGGGTTGACCCTGGCACTACGCCAGAGAGAGAGAAAGATTTAGAGGCCACCGTTGTAAAGACAAATCTGTAAGGCCCGACTTCATACCGCCGATCCGAAAACTAACAGGCTGGCCAAGGATTGAGGGAGACGGGTGAGTCTTGTTGACAAATAAGAATAAGAATAGAGTTGGAAGGAACCTTGGAGGTTGTCTAGTCCAACCCTTTACTCAGGCAGGAAGTCCTATACCATTTCAGACAAATGACTGTCCAGTCTCTTCTTAAAACCTTCCAGTGTTGGAGCATTCACAGCTTCTGGAGGCAGGTTGTTCCACTGATTAATTGTACTAACCATCAGGAAGCTTCTCCTTAATTCTAGATTGCTTCCCTCTTTGATTAGTTTCCAACTGATGATCAATAAAATATCTGTCCTGGATTAGTAAATTATGCAACGAAGCAGGAGAGATAGTATACCAAACCGAGGAGTGTCCTTCTCATTCTTGACGAGACTTTAGTTGTTGACACGTAGCACTTCTGTGCTGGGGATAATGGTCCATCTTGAAGATTTGTATCCTTCTTCCATCCCACACATACAGATACAACAAAAACAAGTTTGGAGCAGACTTAAGGGCCACACCCGAAAACTTTTTATTACCAAATATATTAAAGAGTATCGCTCCGCCTTCGGTGATAGCCTGTGCCTCTTGTCAGTGCAGTCTCTCAAGTCTGCCCAGATATCCATCTCTGGATTTGGGCTCCCCCACTCCAGACAAGGCACAAGCAGTGCCACCAAAAGGAAATTAAAAAAGACGAGAGAGTATCGCTTTTCTCTCCCGGGGCTGCAGAGATGGAACACGAGCCGTTATCAGAAAGATGAGCTAATATTCCTAGCAAGGCGAAGTCTCCGGAGCAAGGATACGGCTCGTCTTTATAGAGGCAGATTGGACAATTCAAATCGGGCCGGTTTCTCATAACTTACTTGCGTCAGCAAAATTGGAGTCCAGCAAGTTGCACGTCTGTCCAGATCGGTTGGAGATAGACATCTTTCAGCAGCTTAGACACACACACACACACACACACACAGACACCTGTGTTTTTCAGAGTAGTGCACCCCCCCCCCCAGTAAATAATAGGCATTTCTCAGTCCTGTCATGCCCCATTGGAGGCTGGTTTGGAGGGAGTTGATTTTTGTTGTGGGGGGAGTAGATTCTTCTTCTTCTTCTTCTTCTTCTTCTTCTTCTTCTTCTTCTTCTTCTTCTTCTTCTTCTTCTTCTTCTTCTTCTTCTTCTTCTTCTTCTTCTTCTTCCTCCTCCTCCCCCCCCTCTCCTCCTCCCTCTTCTTCTCCTTCTTCTCCAGGCTCCAATGGGCCATGACAACCCTATCACTGAAAAAACTCAAGTGCTGATTAATTTAAACTATCTACTTAACTTCTACACACTTTAGCGCCAAGAATACCTGAATGGTCCTAGTTACCTTCTTGGGCCATTAGTGATCCCTCTCCTGGCTTTGACTTGCCTCGCTCCGTCTGGATGAAACGGAACAGAATTAGCTGTGATAATGGAAGAGATGTCTCTGCCCTGCTCAAGCAGGAGGATCTATGCCATCTCAGACAAGTGACTGTCCAGCCTCTTCTTAAAAACCTCCAGTGAGGGAGCACCCACGATTTCTCGAGGCCAGCTGTTCCACTGGTTAATTGTGCTCACTATTAGAAAGTTTCTTCTTAATTCCAGTTGCTTCTCCCGTTGACCAGTTTCCAGCCATTGTTTCTGGTCCTGCCCTCTGGTGCTTTGCAGAATAATTTGACCCCCTCTTTTTTGTGATAGCCCTTCAAATACTGGAACGCTGCTATCATGTCTCCCCTATTTCTTCTTTTCTTTAGACTGGCCAAACCCAAGTCCTGCAGCCATTCTTCATGTTTTAATCTCCATCTTAGTTGCATTTTTTTTCCCCAAACTCTCAACATCTTTTTTGTAATAGGGTGACCAAAATTGGCTGCAGTATTCCAGGTGTGGCCTTCCTAGGGTTTTATAAAGCGGTACTAATACTTCACGTGATCTTGATTCTATGCCTGTTTATACCATCCAGGATTGTGTTAGCTTTTTTGGCTGCTGCTGCACACGGCTGGCTCAGTCAAGTGATCGTCCACTAGGACTCTACTAAAACATGAACGGACGTATTTACGATGGAACTGCAACCACACCCAGACACCACGTTCACGTCTTCGACTTAATGACTGTTTGAAGAGCACCCCATGTTCACATGTTCGTGATTGACGACTTTTTCCTCCTCTGGAAACCAGCATTTATTTCCGATTTACAGCCAAAACATGCCATACCCGACAAGGGATTTGCTTAAAAAACGTGGTGCTCATTTTACGACTGCCACCTACGCTTCCATGACCACTGTAAAAAGAAGAAAAAAAAATGTTGCCAGATCAGGCTGAGTCACACTATGACCCATTTTACGGCCACGGTGACTTAATTCTTGTCATTGCCTGTACAGCTTAGTCCTCAACTTACAAGAGTTCATTTAGCGAGCAGTCCGTTACAACAGCACTGGAAAAAGTGACTTAAGAGCGTTTTTCACACTTACGACAACTGTAGCGTCTCCATGGCCAGCTGATCAAAATTCAGACACTCAGCAACTGATTCATATTTATGACGGTCGCAGCATCCTGGGATGACCTGATCCTTTTACGACCTTCATATGGGGGAAGCCGGGTTCACTTCACAACCGTGTGACTAGTCAAACAACTGCAGTGGTTCACTTAACGATGGGGCCAGGGAAGGTCGTAAAATGGGGCAAACATTTAATGTATGTCTTGCTTAGCAACAGAAATGTTGACCTCCATTGTGGCCGTTAAGCCGAGGACTTCTGGCTCCCAAAAGAATTCCACTCAAGACCGGCAAGCAAAGAAATCGAGGGTGGTGGTTGTTTTTTTAAAGCACTTTTTTTATTATTGATCTCATCGAAAACAGAACAAGGAAATGACAGAGCTGAAAGGCGATGGCCTCTTAAAACTGTCCAAACATTTAACAGAAAACGAACGAAAAAAGAGGGGGGAGAGAGAGGGAGACAGAGAAGAAAGAAAGAAAGAAAGAAAGAAAGAAAGAAAGAAAGAAAGAAAGAAAGAAAGAAAGAAAGAGAAAGGAAGGAGGGAGGGAGGGAGGGAAGAAAGAAAGAAAGAAAGAAAGAAAGAAAGAAAGAAAGAAAGAAAGAAAGAAAGAAAGAAAGAACACCTGGCAAATATGAATGGTTTAAAAAGTTTCACCAAGAGAAGGGGGGGGGAAAGACGCCAAACCTGCGCTAATTACAGTATTGAAAGATATATGAAAAAAAAGAAAAAAAGAAAAATAATAATTAAATGACCTGTCCGGTCATCACACAAAAAGCGATGACCCTTTTTATGCTCACTACCATACAACGTATTTGTTTGTTGTTTTTTTAAAAAAGGGGGGGCAGTACGGGAGGGGTTGTTTTTTAGTTGTTGTCGTTTTGTTGTTTTTATTATCTGTCCCTGCGTTTTCATACTAAAATCACTTTGTTCTTTTTGTTTTTTTTAATTCTTTTCTTTTTTGTTTTTTTGTCCTTTTTTTTTTAATTATACAACTGAAATTTATATTCACGAAGTCGAGTAAAAATCGCAAGAGAGAGAATCAGCACCGTGAAGTTGCTCGTGTGGGTGGGTGGGGGGGTGAGGAGGAAGAGGAGGCTGAAGGGGGGGGGAGAAGGGACTTGTCTGTTCAACCCCCCCGGCCCTCAGCCCCCCCCCACTGTCAATCCATACCCTCAGCCTCCCCACCAGTTGATTAAAAAATAAAACTCGATCCGGTCCAACTTCGGCCTTTAGCTTCCGGAGAGGGAAAGCGCTGCAGCGCTGGCTTCCAGGAAGTGGGAATCTCCGGATGATTGCAATCCTCGCGCCTCGGCTTAAGAAACGCGCCCCCTCCTATAAATACCCAAAAGGGTCTTTAAGAATATCGATTTTTATTAAGGACGCCGCACCCCTCTCTCCCCACCCCCCAAAGTTTCCACTTCCGATTTGGAGTTAGTGTCATTGAAAAACAGGATTCCTATAGACGAGTGGAAGAAGGCAGGGGAGGGAAAATAAAATTATTTTAAATTTTAAAGAAAAATAATAATAATAACAACGCTGCGGCGGGGGGGGGGGGAGAGTGGTAAGGAGGAGCTACCCGAGGACTGGGATATAACGGAGAAGTCCCAGAAGATTGCTCTCTTGACCTGGGCGAATCGGGATGGGGCGTGAGCAGCGAACAAAGAATTGATTGGACTCGGTCTCTGGTTGGGCCCCTGTTCCAAAGCACAGGCAGCCAGCAAAGGAGTGGGTGGGAGGGAAGATTCAGCGGCAGGCAAAAAAAAAAACCGTTCCCGGATGTGTGCCGAGGCCGGCGGAACTCTCCGAGACAAGGATGCCGAGTTGAAAGGACTTTTTTTGAGACTCTTGACCCACCGAGGATGCAGAGTTTGACGAATCCGAGGCGTGCCCGCTGTTCAAGGATGGAGAGTTTGGACGGGAGAGACAGTCCATGTCAATGTTCCTCGTTCCGACGAGGGGATGGGGGGCTTGGAGAACACTTATCACGTGAAAAAGGAGGGGAGGGGAAGAGAGGGGAAGGGAGGTCTTCCCCCTGCCACGTCGCCAGAGGGGAGCGAAGGAAGGAGGGAAGGAGAGCGCGACACCGCGACGCCGCCACCGTCATCCACGGCCCCCCGAAAAGGGGAACCGTTATGGCAGACCGGAGGTGGGGGGGGGAGCTCGCTGGGAAAAGGGGCAGAACGAAACCAACGAAAAGCATCGTCTTCAAATGTCACGGCCTGGCTGGGGAGGGCCACGGGCTCTTCAGGGAAGGCCTCCAAAGGCAGGGGGGGATGCCAAGGTGGCCGAACTGGTGTCCGGGAGTCTGTTCTCGGGGGCCTCCTGAGAGGAAGCGGCGGTGCTAGCCGTCGTAGCAGCAGCCGCTGCAGCAACAGCACTGGTCTGCCGCTCGGCCAGGACGGCGCTCGAGTGCCTGCATTTGGGCGAGTTGCAGAGGCAGCTGAAGTATTTGGCTTTGATGTTCCAGAACCTCTCGCCGTAGTCAAACCTGCAGAAAGAGAAGCTCAGTTACTCCGGTGTTGCATTGTGGGGGTGGGGTGGGGGTGTCTTACACTCCTAGTAAGCAACCTGGGAGAGGACTAGATGACCTAAAAGGTCCCTTCCAACTCGGTGATTCTGATTCTAATTCTAACTCATTCTAACTCTAACTCTAATTTAATTCTAATTCTAATCCTAATTAATTCTAACTCTAACTCTAATTCTAATTCTAATGGTGGCTAACAAGAGATGGCTCTGCGCCCCAGCCTTTTTCTCTTTCTGCCCCCCTTGGGTCTCGGTCTCCACTTCTGCTTCCGGGCCAAGGCGTACCCGATTTCTTCTCCCGCCTCTATGTGTCTGCTGCTGAAAAAGGCAATTCTGGGAAACCGCAGGTCCTGGTGGGACATGAAGACCCGGACGGCAATGAGGTTGGGCTCGCAAAAGTGGTTGATGAAGCGGCTGATGTTGCCGTAGAAGCGGGCATCGATGCAGTAGACGTCCCAGTCCTGGAGGAAGAGACGGGAGGAGTTAGGGGGAAATGGGAGGAGCCGTCACTGATGACTCTTGAAATACTTCGCATTGGGGTGCGATTGATATGCGACTTGATCTGGCTCCCGACGCCAAATGGCTCTCAATGCGCCAGGTGATAGAAGAATAGCAGAAGCCAGAACAACAAAAGCAAGAAGGAAGGAAGGAAGGAAGGAAGGAAGGAAGGAAGGAAGGAAGGAAGGAAGGAAGGAAGGAAGGAAGGAAGGAAGGAAGGAAGGAAGGAAGGAAGGAAGGAAGGAAGGAATTCCTCAAACAAAGCCAACAAAAATTTCAATGAAGAGGAGGAGGAGGAGGTGAAGAAGAAGGAGAAGGAGGAGGAGGAGGTGGTGGTGGTGGTTGGGGACCTCTGCTTTAAAGCAATCATGGGACTTAATATAAGGCTCAGCTAAAGAAATGGCCGGTGGGGGCTGGTACTCCCACCCAGTCAAACCTCCCACTTGTGATTGCTGCAGTTATTCACTTACACCCCTCCACTTTGTAGCAATTTGTCTGAATGAGTTTGCAACACAATCAAAGCAAAGAAGATCAAACGGCAGTTTAGTGTTTATGCCGTGAAACAGCAGCAGCTTCGGATTTAGAACTGTCTCAGAGTCTCTCTCTCTCTCTCTCTCTCTCTCCTTCTCTGCCTCTCCCTTCATCCCCTGCTTTGATGCAGGTAAACAGTCTGAAAATATGAAATTGTGTTTTTATCCTCTCAGTAGGACTGGATTCTCCTTCCTGCTCTGTCTTCATTCCCTTACGCTGGCCAGCCTAAAATCTCCCAGGCCCCCATTTATTTTTATTTTATGCCTTGAGTTTCCTCTGAGCAGCGTAAAACACACTCCCTCTCCTCCAATTTTTCTCCATTCCCAATAATCCTCCGGGTAAGAATGAGAATAATTGATCCCAAGCCCACCAGAAGGTTCCCATTACTTTCCTATTCCTGGAGAGATAATCTAAGCAGTCAAAGAAGCAATCCTGTTCTACGATGTATATGCCGCTTACATGTTTTTAGGCTGACGCGGTCTACAAATTTTATAAAAGAATAAACAGGAATTGCCAAAGATAGCTTTGCTTATACAACTTATGTCCTGTGACAATACCTTTAACACCATCAAGCAGCAACATGTCTATCCAGATCTATCCTGTAATCAACGAGTGGATTACAATGCCAAACCCAGACTAAACATCTGGCTTATAGAATATTAGGGGTTGGACTGTGGGGTCCTTGGTGCTCTCTGGAACTGGACTGTTTTCTTGCAGACGTTTCATGACCCAACTAGGGAACATCATCAGTGCTAGAAGGGAGAGAGCAAACCTTATTCCCATCTAGCACTGACGACGTTACCTAGTTGGGTCGTGAAACATCTGCAAGAGAACAACCCAGCTCAAAGAGCACCAAGAACTCCACAATCCTTTTCCTCCTCTTCCTTCTCCTTCTGTGCCTCCGCTCCACACACCTTACTTCCTCTTGGCCCTGAAGATGTTCCCTAGTTGGGTAATGAAACGTCTGTCAGCTCAGAGAGCGCCAAGGATCCCACCTCTCTCTGAATGTACAACCACAATAAACCAGCTGTTCATTTCAGGAACTCAGCTGAGTGCCACCAACAGACAAGCCCACCTCAACCTGAGCCATACCACCAGTCACCCCAATCCACCATATCGTTCCAGCTGGGGATTGTGGGAACTGAGGTCCGACACATCTGGAAAGTGTCAGTTTGAAGGACATACGGCTAGACAGGGAGAACTGCTAACACAATGAATGAGCCTTATAATTACTAAGTTGGCCCAGGGGTTGTGTACACCTAGTCAACGCTTCTTCACATTCTTACGGGACCTAAAGCACTCAGTAGCCAGAAGAAGGATCCTAGCAGGAGTTTGTGCAGCTGGGAAGCCAATGTTCATGTTCCTTAAACTCAAAAGCTTCGGGCTTCTCCTCCTCCCACTCAGACGATTGAACCTGACAATCCAATTAGAGGAGACCCAGGCCTGCAGGATGCTTTACTTGCCAACAAATGAAATTACAAAAAAGGGGGCAGGAAGGATGGAGGGGAAGGCACGGAGAAGCGACGTGCGCTTCCCCGACGGAAGCCAAGGGAACTTCTTGGCCTCTTCAACTGCACCTCTGGAAGACGTTGTTCGTTCGGACAGCACACAATTTGTGCAAAAAGCAGAGGCCTTGTTTGTCGGTACATCAATTGGATAAGGCTACCCAAACTCGAGGCAACGATGCTATTTCAGGTTGCGCGCTCCAACTGCGAGGCAAGGTGAACCAAAGTGTATTGTACTGTTCTTAGCGTTATTACTGGAACACGCAATATAACCGTATGCGGTGGGCTCTCTCAGCTGGGGGGGGGGTTCTTGCAGATGTTTCATGATCCAACTAGCATCGTCAGTGCTAGAAGGGAGCATGGTGTCTGGAGAGGAGGGGGAGGAGGAGAAAGGGAGGGGGAGGGGAAACTGTAGGGTTTGTTGTTTTGTTGCAGATGTTTCATTACTCAACTAGGTAGCAACATTCGTGCAAACACTGCTCCTTTCTAGCACTGATGATGTTCCCTAGTTGGGTCATGAAACGTCTGCAAAAAAAAAAAAAAAAACCAAGCTCAGAGAGCACCAAGGACCCCATAGTCCTCCTCCTCCCCTTCTGCTCCTCCTCCCTATACCCCCTGCTCCCTTCTAGCACTGATGATGTTCCCTAGTTGGGTCATGAAACGTCGGCAAGAAAACAACCCAGCTCAGAGAGCACCAAGGACCCCACAATCATTGTGTTTTTTAAAAGCCCAGTGGAAACCAGTATAAAACTATGGAATGCAGTCCTGCTTGTCTTCCAGGACCAAGAGGACAGCCTAGGCCAAGATTGGTTTGTGTTTGGTGGAGTCATCTATCCAATCCTGCTCCAAGAAAAGTCCCTTCGTTCAATCAAGATTCGTCTTTCTGCTTCTCCTCATTCAGCAGCCTGGAAAGGCTTATCTTCTTCTGTCCCCTTCTCTCCAGACCCATTACCCAATCCTCGGAGCTCGTTTGCCCCCCCCCGGTCCACGGGAGCCCCGCGGTCCAAAAGGCGAGAAGAGCTTCACACAGCAGCTCAAACGATCGTGTCTCTGCCCAGTGTAACCAGTGTAACGGAAGACGGAAGGAAGGTGTGGAGAATTCATCTTAGCACGTCTGCTCGCCCTTGAAGTCCTTAGCAAGTTAAAACACACACACACACACAGACACACACAGAGAGAGAGAGAGAGAGAGAGAGAGAGAGAGAGAGAGAGACAGACAGACAGACAGACACGCACACACTACTCTTACCTTGTTGCCAAGGTCGAAAAGATAGCAATCTTCCTCACGTACGTTGGCCTCCGAGTCAGAAATCAGCTCTCCGACGTATCTGCAGGATACACCCCCCCCCAAAAAAGTCTGTATAATATGTAAAATCCAATACGTGTGTTTTTTTAAAAGAGGAAAGCAGTGTGACAAAAAAAGGATCTCCCAATTTTGGCCACGTACGGATTTCAACTCCCCAAATTTTTCAGAAAGGGCTGGGGAATCCAGGAAGCTAATGCCTGCGCAGCTGGAAACTGCTGAGGTGAGATTTTCCACCTTTGGCGACTGGGTGGCCAAAGACCCAATGGGACTTTTGTTTATTTGTCAGATTTATTAGCCGTTATCTTGCCACAGGATAACTGTCATGGGACAGGGAAGAGGTTTCTCTCCCTTTTTTCCTCTGGAAGCTGGGTCATCCCTCTGGGCTGGTCATCTTAGGTCCCCCGGGGCTTCAAAACCAAGGCACTTACTCGCACACAAAGGTCCCCAGTGGAATGTCTTGCATTGTCCTTACACCCCAGCCCATCTTCCTCGTCCGGAAAAGTTGCAATCTTGTCCTGAACAAAGAGAGAAGCAACTTGGAATTAAGGAGAAGCTTCCTAACAGTGAGGACAATTAACTAGTGGAACAGAAGTTGCCTCCAGAAATCGTGGGCGCTCCATCACTGGAAATTTTTAAGAAGAGACTGGACAGTCATTTTGTCTGAAATTGTATAGGCTCTCCTGCTTAAGTGGGGGCTGGACTAGAGGACCTCCAAGGTCCCTTCCAGCTCTATTCTATTCCATTCCATTCCATTCCATTCCACTCCACTCCACTCCACTCTATTCTCTCCATTTCATATTCTATTCTATTCTATTCTATTCTATTATTCTATTCTATTCTATTCCCTATTCTATTCTATTATTTCTATTTCTGTTCTGTTCTGTTCTATTTCTATTCTATTTCTATTCTACTTTAAACTAGATATAATTCTTAATTCTGACTTCCCCAGCTGCAAACGGACAAAGGGACATCCCAGCATCTCACCGGAGTCCGTTTTGCACCACCCGATTCCGGCAGGTTCTCCAACAGGAACAGGCGTGGTTACACTCAAAAATTAGCGGAGGTTCAGACGTGTTGAATTCTGGAAGCAGCCGTCCATCCTGCACCGGGGGGGGGGGGGGGAAAGGGAAGTTCAAGCTGGACATCTGGTCAGCCCAGCCATCTCAAGGCCACAATATGGTGGAACCGCCACTTCACGGATCCTTGGGTTTGCCTCTGGACATCGTCCATCCCCCAAAGGTTGCCAGATCAGGCTCGGTCATAGCGACCCGATTTACGACCACGATGACTTAATTCTGACATCGAGGACTGCCTGTCCAGGTTACTCCTCGGTTTACAAGAGTTTGCTTAGTGACAAGGGCACGGAAAAAAAGTGACCCAGGACCGTTTTTCACACTTACAACCCCAGGGTCACGTAATCAAAACTCAAGACGTTTGGCAACTGACTCGTATTTATGCGATCACCATGTCCTGGGGGAGCGGGGGATCCAAGTGATCCTCCATTGCCACCTTCTGACAAGCGAAGCGAATGGGGAAGCCAGATTCACTTTAACGACTGTGTGTCTCACTTAACAACTGTGGCAACAGTCGAAGAAATGGAGCAAAATTCGCTTGCTTAGGGACAGATGTTTTGGGCTCCCCTGCGGTCGTAAGTTAAGGACTACCTGTTAAAAATAAAGCCCCGGTCCCCAGCACGGACCCAAGGAGGCAGCTACAATTTATGAATCGACATCGTTTGCGCAAAGAGGTCATTACACAAATGATTCAAATTCGGTTTGTGTGTCACTGGCCGAAGAACGTAAACCAGAGCAGAGGATCAACTTGTGATCCGGCAGAGGTCCCACAAATGATCCATCCGATCAAGGCTGCAGGGCCCAAATATTTTAGGCAGAACAAAAAAAAAAAAATCAAAGGTAATATTGATGGTTTTTTTCCAGCCTAGCCGATCAGTTCCTCCCCTCTTCTGGCTTTTTCGCCACTTAATTGTCTGAATTCTTGCTTGAGATCTTCTCCAAGATTTGGTCGCCAGGACAACAAATGGGAAAATCAGCCCTGTTTAACCCTGCTTTTTCCGTACTGTGCTTTCCTGCCGTCCAGAGAGGAGATCCGGGGTAGCCCGGAAGGAAGGGGAGAGGAATCATGTAACCCTTGCCTGTCGCCCCCTTTGCCCCCCCCCCAATCTCCTCAGAGGACAGTACCTGCCCCAAATCCTTACCCGGTCATACCAGCAACGCATACTGAGCTGTCCACACATGCACTTGCTGGAGGAACAGTCGTCTATGCACACACAGTACTGGAAGCAAAGAAACAAGAAGCAGAGTCACTGGGGGAGGGGGGACAGGAGATGTCCAGCAAGGATGCTGTTATGAGTCCTGAAAGGCAGATAGAGGAGTGGAGGTAAACCTGAGGAGGAGGAGGAGGAGGAGATAGATTGAGCTGAGATTTAAGTAGATCATGGATAGATGATAAGGAGAAGAGGAGACGTAGACAGATAAGGAGAAGATAGATGAAAAGGAGGAGGAGGAGGAGAAGAAGAAGCAGAAGCAGCAGAAGACGATCACGAAGAAGACGAAGAAGGAGGAGGAGGAGGAGGAGGAGGAGGAGGAGGAGGAGGAGGAAGAGGAAGAGGAAGAGGAGGTTTATAACATCAAAATCAGAAGGGAGGGAGGGAGGGGACACACAGTAGTGTAACCAGTCTGGCACCTGCAAATGAGTGATATTCCTGTCCACGTTCATGGGCGAAGTCACACAGTTCTGGGAAATGTACTTGTAGTTCACAGGGCAGGGCTCACTGTCCACAGAATTGATGCAGGGAATCGGGATCCGCTCATAACCCCGGGCGATGTCTCTGTCACAGCAGGGAGAAGAGAAGGGATTGCTTTAAAAGCAAGAAGCCGCACAGGCAGATGGGTGAAACATACAGCCTTGCGTCTGGAGGCTCCATTCTAAAGTCAGGAAAAAAAGGAGCCTCCGGGCCATTCAATCCAGATTCTAAAACCTGCCCGTTACCGCATCCAGCGTTGGTGCTCTCTGAGCTTGGTTGTTTTCTTGCAGACGTCTCATCACCCAACTAAGCAACATCATCAGTGCTAGAAGGGAATGAGTTTGCTCTCTCTCCCCCTTCTAGCCCTGAAGAGGCTACCTAGTTGGGTAATACAGTCTGCAAGAGAACAACCAAGCTCAGAAAGCACCAAGGACCCTTCATGAAAGCTTGGCTTGGCTGCCCATCCCCAACCAAATCAATCAGCCCCAAATCTGACAAATTTGCTGGCAGGAGCTGTTGCTGAAAATCCACCGCTGCAAGCACCCACCAAGGTTACTGGTGAGAGCTGGCAGCTCTGCTCTTTAAAGAATTTGGCTGAATCAGAGGTACTTCTCCCTCTGCTCAGCTTGGCAAAGATCCTTTTTCAAATTTCCCTTTCAAGGGATATGCCCTCCCAATTTGAGTGGGGGAAACCTAGCAGCTCAGCCTCCCTCTGTAAAAATTTGGGCTTCTCTCCAAATTTGGGGGGGGGGGGAAATGGGAGAAAGGCAGGCAGCGTTAACTTTTGTTGGCCTGGAACTTAAGGCAGGTTGTCACACCTGCTTAGTATCTTCTCCACCTGGGCGGGTTTCTCTGGAGCTGATTCTTTCAGGGTCTTGTTCATCTGCAAAGTAACCCAGACTTGAGAGTTGAGGCTGGAGCACTGTAGTGGAGTCTCGCCCTCCTTGTTTTTCAGGGCCACGTCAGAGCCGCGGGAGAGGAACAGGCTGCAAGGAAAGGGCAAGGTCACCAAGAAGGAAGGGGCGGGGCCAGCGGCATCCAGCCGGGGTCAACCGCAGGAAATCAGGTGTCCAACATGGCTCAAATGAATATCTAGGTTTATTGTACGCTAACAGCGTGTGCAGACACTGAACCTGTCAGCTGGAAAAAGGTTTGCGACCAGAGCACTGTGCAACGGGTGAGCTCCCGTTCCTTGCTCCAGCTCCTACTGACTGAGCTTTCAAAAGCATAAAAATGCGAGTAGATTAATAGGTACCACTTTGGTGGGAAGGTAACAGCATTTCATGTGGCTTTGGCATATAGCCAATGTGGCCACATGACCCCGGAAAATGTCTTCGGACAATGTTGGCTCCCTCGGCTAAGAAGCAGACATGAGCACCATGGCCTAGAGTTGGACACAGTTGGACAGGGAAGCCTTTATTCTAATGCTCTCTACAAGAATCTGAACTATGAATGGCCATCGTCTGTCTCAAATCTCTTTGCGCCCACAAGTCCAGCCCACCTTGAATTCCATTGATTCTTACCTACCACCAATTTGTTTTGGATGGTTAGTCGTTCAGATTCTTCTAGACAGGGTCAGCATGCAATAAACCTGTATTGATTTGAACGGCCTTGGGCTCCAGATTTCCTGCAGCCTGCCTTGTTAACCTCTTGGCCTTTGATTCTTTTTTTTCATTTTTACTTGTAATGTGTGAACTTGAGTTTCTAAGCTACACCTTTATCCGTGCACTTCTACGGGGGAGGGGGGGGGTTGATTACTAAGCTGTTGTAAACAGCCCCAGAACTGAGATGGATGGTTTTAATTTAATACAGAAGTAAAGAAACTAACGAGGATGGGAGGGGGAGCAAGCTGCTCCCCCAGTTTTGTACTTACACCACACACTCGTAGCGGTTCTCCCGGGCTGCGATGTGCAAGGGGGAATCCCCGTGAATGTTGACCGCGTGTAAGTCGCATTTAGCAGCCAGGAGGATCTCAGCGATGTCGACGCAGCCGGAGAAAGCAGCCCAGTGTAAACAGATATTCTGCTCCTGGAAGAGAGAGATTGGGGGAAGTGGGAAGAAGCAACCCAGACTGCCTGACACATGGGAGAAACACCCCGTGTAAGATCCTCCTCCTCCTCCACAATCTGTGGGCTGCCTTCTTTAGAAGGCTCAGCTCTTCTCTTTCACCTAGACAGGGAGATCCCGGCAACAGCCACATCCAAGCTCCCTGAGAAGAAGGAGGAGGACCCAATCTCTTTCTCCCCCCCTCCCCTTTCAAGGACTGATGATTCATTTGTTTGCAAGGCACAGCACACTCAGGGTGCATGGGGGGGGGGAAATGCCACAGACGCAGAGGGAAAAGCTTCGGAGTTAGGGAAACCTTTGGAGCTCACCAGATGACACATCCCTCTAGGGCAGCCAGCCTAGACCAACAGGGAGGCTGGCGAGAAAGGAAAAGCTGGGGAACGTGAGTGAGGCTGGGTGCCCGGGCAGAGGTTGCCCGCGGGCCAACTTCATTCTGCTCCTCCTCTTTCTCTCCGGCCCTGCAAGTTGCAAGAGCTGATTCCCTTGGGCGGAGAAGGGATTAATTCTGGAGTGTTAAGGATGGTAGCTTCTAGCTTTTCTCTGAAGTTCAGCCTCCCCCTCTCTTGTCTTGAAAAGAAGGGATGTTTGGGAGGGGAAATACTCTTGTATCAAAAAGGAAGCCAGCCCCTCTTTTTCTCCCCCTTCCTTGAGTGAGATCGCAATCATGGAGAACATCAGGAGAGGCTTGCTTTCTCATCAGTTGGATCCCTCAGTTGGTCCAACACTGAAGGGCAACAGCACAGGAGGACCCAATGAGATCAGGAGAAGATTTGGCAGTCCATCTGCATTTGAAGGCCACTCTTTTGAGGGCAGCAAAGTCCACACTCTGCACAAAGAGGACCGCTGGTTTGAAAGAGAGGGGTCAAAGAGGCCGTCTAGGTCAAAACGAAACAGCCCTCTCTCAACAGAGGGGGAGGGATAAGACACCACCTATCTCCTGTTTACGACACAGCCTCTTTTGAGCAGTTCCAAGAAGGCTCCACCTCCATCTGCACTACTCAGATGACCCTGAGGACACAGGTAAACCCCCCAAGTGCCCCAATAGCTCTGAGACAGTGCTGATGACGAGATGACTGCCAGGAATATAAATCCTTCCATTCTCCACTATTCAGTAAGCACTGGAGAAGCTTCTCACATAAGAAGCAAAACGTCTTCAAGGAAAAACGAAGTCCAGTTGCCTTTTTAAAAAAGCATGTTTGAGTCAACCATGAACCTGGATGACTGGGAATATCCAGACATACAGAAGAAGGAGCCTCACCTCCTGCAGGCACCAAGGAAAGCCAGGTTCTCTAGGTCTAAGCTGGGTGATCCCTAAAATAAGAAGGGGGTCAGACCCACCCAACTTACGTTATCTCGGATGTTGATGTCGGAGCCTTTGGCCAAGAGGAGCTTCACCAGCTCCACGTGCTTGTACTCCGTAGCCCATATCATTGGCGTCCAGCCTCCGTCATCCTGGGAACAAAGGGACACCATTTGAGCAGAGGCCAAGGTCTGACCTGGAATATTATGGTAGGGGGGAGACTGCAAGAGACTAGGTGGACCCCGACATTATTTTTAGAAAACTGAAAGGCCCACCAAGTCTTTTGTTTAGAAGGACATTCACCTGCCAAGCAAAGAAGAAATAATAATAATAATAATAATAATAATAATAATAATAATAATAATAATGAGAAGGAGGAGAAGGAGAAGAGGAGGAGGAGGAGGAGGAGCAGGAGTGGTAGTCGGAAGGGACCTGGGAGGTCTAGTCCAACCCCCTGCTCAGGCAGGCATCCCTCTCTTGTGACCTTTCTGATCAATAGATGTGGGGTCCTTGGTGCTCTCTGACCTGGGTTGTTTTCTTGAAGACGTTTCATTATCGAACTAGGTAACATCATCAGTGCTAGGAAGGGAGTGGGCTTTGCGCTTATTTTATATGCCATCAGTGTTGGTGGGAAAGGACTTGGCAGATCCTGGATTGGGCTGTTGTTTTCTGTTAGCTGGTTTGCCTGAGCTGGTAGTTTCTTAATTAGGGTATTTGTTGGCTGCTTGGTGATGCTTTGTGCCATCCATGGGGGACAACTCTGCATAAAGGCAGCCCCCCCGAAACCCCTCATTTTCAGTCCAGCCCGCTCTGTAAGGGCTCAGGAGGCCACAAAGAAGGTCGTTGGATAGCTGAAGGCCAAATATAGGTGGCCCATTCTTCTCCTGCCACCGCGCCAAGCCTATTTTTCACCCTGTCCCGATTCTGTTGGAAAGGCCTAGAGAAGGCCAAACAGAGAAAGGGGGAGGGGGGAGAGGGAGGGAGGGGGGAGAGAAATGTCTTTTGGGTGACTCAGAGAACAACCTGAAATGGCTTTGTTGCAAGGCAACTGCAAGCATGAGAGAACGAGGATGCGTGGGCTTCGTTAATTCTGGCTATAACGGATTGCAGAGCAGGGACAGATAAGGCAAAAGAATTTTCTGGGCTGATTCCCATCCACCTCCTGAAAGCTGGGCAACTGGAAAAGGATTGGGGGGAGGAAGGCAGGGAGGGGGGGAAATTGGCGCCCCAGCCACCAGAACCCATAAGGAACATCAGTTGTACATTTATCCGTAAGTTGTAAGAACCGTTGCAGGAGTTGGGTATGGCCAGTCTAGAGAAAGGGACGAGGAACGACACGATAGCAGTGTTACAATATATTTGAGGGGCTTCCACAAAGAGGAGGGGGTCCACCTCTTCTCCAAAGCATCTGAAGGCAGGACAAGGAGCAACAGATGGAAACTAAGCTACTTGGAACTAAGGAGAAATTTCCAGACAGTTAGAACAATTAATCCGTGGAACAACCTGCCTCCAGAAATTGTGAGTGCTCCAACACTGGAAGTTTTCAAGAAGAGATTGGATAGCCACTTGTCTCAAACAGTACAGGGTCTCCTGCTTAAGCAGGGAGGGGTTGGACTAGAAGACCTCCAAGGTCCCTCCCATTACTCTGTGTGTAACCTAAGGGTCTCTACTACCGTTACCTTTTGGCTTGCTCCTATTACATTTATATCAAGCCTAATAAGAGACTGGACGGCCACTTCCGTCTCAAACGGTACAGGTTCTCCTGCTTGAGCAAAGGGGTTGGACTAGAAGACCTCCAAGGTCCCTTCCAGCTCTATCCTGACTTAAAAGTCGTGTTCTAGCTGTTCTAGCAAAAGAGGAACAGGTGGCCGGACAAATGTTAGGCCCCCGTCAGAAGCAAAGTCACTCACCTGACCGTTGACATCCATCTGTTCGTTAGACAGGAGATACTGCACCACGTCGTAATGGCCCTTCTTGGCTGCCAGGTGCAAACAGGTGGATCCTTCAGCATCCTGAACCAAAGACAGGTGATGAGGTGGAGGGGTCAGCAGCGCCGGGAGGAGGACTAGAAGGCGAGGACAACCCAGCAACACGGACGGTGGGATAAAACAGCTCGTCAAAGCCTCTGGGTTTTGGGCCAGATAAATTTTGCCTGGTGATCTATCGCCAGCCAAGTCATTTCACTCCTGTCCTGCTTTTTTAACATCAGCTTGCTTAGGAAGCTGCCAGCCCCATTCCTAAGAGAGTCAACGGGCCGAAAAATCCAAGCTCCTGACTCAAAAGCATGAAGCGGCATGGCAGAGCCACTTCGAACGCATGATGCGCTGCACACCCCAACTCTCCGCTTTCTCCCCCTGCTCCTGGCCACTTTTTACAGAGGCAGGGCGGAAAAAGGTTTTCACCAACTGCCATCCCTCTGTGGTTTCATAGCAGCAGAGCCTCAGAGAGAAGTAAGGTAAGGAGTGGCAAGGACAGCCCAGAAGATGATAAGAAGCTTATAAGCGCTTGTTATGTGCTTAAGAGCGCCAAGCATTGTTAGAGACCCCACAGACACACCCACACCCACACTTCACGGTCTGTTTCTGTTGCTCCCCCTCTGGGAGGAGGTTTTGAAGTATCTATAGTAGGACTATTAGATTCGGCTTTGTTCCTTATGCCATCCGTCTTGTAAACTCACAGGATTCTTTTTATTTATTTATTTTTCACCAGACATTCAAACCAGACTGTGATGTTTCTGTGTGTCATATACTGTATGTGTGCGAATGTGGGTATATGCATAATGGTTATCTTGTAAGAGCTGAATGCTTTTCATTTTAATGTATGCTGATTACTGTACATTTTAAGCGACATTAACGTTTCTGTTCTATTCTATTCTATTCTATTCTACTCTACATTCTATTCTATTCTATTCTATTCCATATTCTATTCTATTCTATTCTATTCTATTCTATTCTATTCTATTCCATATTCTATTCCATATTCTATTCTATTCTATGCCATTCCATATTCTATTCTATTCCATATTCTATTCTATTCTATTCCATATTCTATTCCATATTCTATTCTATTCTATTCTATTCTATTCCATTCCATATTCTATTCTATTACAATTATTTTTAAAAAGCGTACATTTAAAATGACAACAAAGTTTTTCTTTTATTCTATTCTAGTCTGTTCTGTACTCTATTTTCTATTCTCTCTCGGTAGGGATCTAGGGCTGAATGGCTACATCAACAGCAATGCAACTTTGAGGTCTTCAACCCAACTGATGGTTGACTGATTCCCACTTGATACTAAGCTGAGAAGCTTTTGGCTTGGCAGGTTAGCCGAATGCGCCACTGGTGGTTTGCAAACCAAGATTCACACCCCCGTGTGGCTCCTGTGGAAGTTGTAAGAAAGCAAACCAAGCATTACCTTGGGGTCTACCAGTGCTCCAGCCTTAATGAGGTATTTCACAGTTTCCAGATGGTTATTCTCTGCTGCTTCCATAAGGGGGGTCCGCTGGTCCTGAGAACAGGTGTCTATGTTAGCGCCGGCCTGTCCAGAGGTAACATGCAGACCCAGAACACAAAGGAAGAACCACAGTTAGCATTTTTTTACATATGTTTAACAGGCTAGTTGCTTAAGCAACCCCACCTAACATTCTGATGGGGTTCGTGCCTCGTGCTAAAAGGTAAAGGAGATTTGCCAGTTTGTGGCTTTAGTGGTGTTGTGCAGACGCTACCACCTACTCTACAAAAAAAAAGGGACTTGTGGATATGTACAACTGATGCTCCTTATGGACTGCAAGGCAATCCAACTGGTCAGTCCTAAAGGAGATCAACCCCGACTGCTCTTTAGAAGGCCAGATCCTGAAGTGGAAACTCAAGTACTTTGGCCACCTAATGAGAAGGAAGGACTAACTGGAGAAGGGCCTAATGCTGGGAAAGATGGAGGGCAAGAGAAGAAGGGGACGACAGAGAATGAAATGGCTGGATGGAGTCACTGAAACAGTAGGCGTGAGCTTCAATGGACTCCAGAAGATGGTAGAGGACAGGAGGGCCTGGAGGAACGTTGTCCATGGGGTCGTGATGGGTCAGAGACGATTTCACAACTAACAACAACAAAATGGGTCCTGTGGCTGCACAGAATCCATAAAGACATTGCAGTTGTGGAATTTACTGTTTCTTTCTCTTTTTTTCGAGAAGCCGAGAGATGCATTGCTACTCTACTGTTTCTTCCCAACAGTTCTATCAAGTAGGTCAGACTAAGCCATCCTCAGAGAGCTTGGCAGCTTGCTGGGGATTCAAAGGCAGCTCTCCGTGGTCCTGATCTGGCACCCCAACCCACTTGGTCATGCTGGCTAGAATGAACCAACTCTTTAACTGAAGGGTAGTCCTGATAACGTTACCTAGTTTGGGTAATGAAATGTCTGCAAGAACACAAGCAAGGTCAGAGAGCACAAGAACCATCATATCAACCCCGAGCTACAAATATTCTCCTTTATTGGCAAACTCTTAACTCTTAATTACTTTTTTTTCCCATGCAGAAAATCCAAAGCAATCGACTTGACTCCACCCCAGCCTCTATTCAACCCTTGAGTCAATAGTCAGGGGAAGCATTATGGATCTAGACAAAGCATCCTATTGTCTACGTGGTTGCAAGTCTACTTGATTCCATCCCAGCCTCAATCTTCCTCAACCCTTGAGCCAATAGCCAGGGCGAGCATTATGGGCCCAGATGAAGCATCCTATTGTCTATGTGGTTGCAAGATCCTCCAACCTAAACTTGCCCATTCAACCACCAAAGACTTGGAATCTGCTACCTTTTATTACTTTTAGAATAAACTCAGCATCTCTTGAGTGAAAGAAACAGATGCTCAATATCCCCAATTGATTTGGTTCTCTAGGAAAAAGAAGGGAACCTACACCCAGTCGGGAGACAAACACTTTTTTTTTTTTAGAAAAAAAATTACGGATGAACCTGAAGTAGCATGTGACAAATGTCCACGTGTCCCGACTCTGCGGCTGCATGAAGAGGCGTCCTTTTACTCTGGTGCTCCATTTTGAAGTTGGGATCGATCCCATCCACTGAGCAAAAAAAAAAAAAAGGAGGGAGGGAGGGAGGGAGGGAAAACAAAACCCACTTATGACCAGTTGCTTAGCAAACCGTTCAAAGTTACCACAGAGCCCAAGAAAGCTACTTATGACCCCTAATGATTCAAAGTTCCAACAGCTGCAAGACGTGGGATGATCCACCTAACAATCGGCAAGATACACAATCCATAATTCCGGGTCAATGGCAGTCAGAAGTCAAGGACTGCCTGTACCTATGGAGGGGGGAGTGCCAAGAGGAGACAAGAGAAGGGTATCAAACAGTAAACCAGTCTCCATCTATTGCGTCTTGTTCTGCCTCCTTTTTTGGGGCAGACCCTTAAAATATTGGAACATTGCTTGCATGCATGGAAGAAGTTTCTCTTGCCTACATCCTGCTTCAGGAGAGTGTAGAACTTCTCCAGAACATCTTTAGCTGGTTTCTTAGAATGACAGGATCATAGGGCTGGAAGGGACCTTGGATGTCTTCTAGTCCAACTCCCTGCACAAGCAGGAGACCCTGTACCATTCCAGACAAGTGGTTGTCCCATCTCTTCTTGAAAACTTCCAGTGATGGAGCACCCACAACTTCTGGAGGCAAGTCGTTCTCCTGGTTGTTTTCACTGTTGGGAAATTTCTCCTTAGTTCTTGGCTGGATTAACTGTTCTCACTGTCACGAAAGATCGTGACCACACCCATTCATCAAAAAAGAAGACTTTCTACTAATTGCAATGTGCGTTGTTAAATGTGGGGGGTGGGGAGGAATTTTACTCACCCAACATAAGGAGAACCTTCTGAAGTTCGCCTTGCCTGGCTGAGAAGTACAGCTGCTTCGAGTGAAATCGCAATTTCTTGGGCCTGCGAAAGCAGAGGAAGAGTTAACTCCAAGTGGCTACTCGTCAGAGCCGTCATTTGTGTTTGTTTTCTCTCTCTTGTTTTATTAATAGTCCCTTCACAGGAAAAGATGCTTTTGGTTTTGATACTGTTCCTCTCAAAAGAAAAAGAACAAGAAAACATATCCATTTCTTCTGAACACTCAAAACAATAAATAAATAAAAATCCTCTTTCCTCTTATTTTACGCCTCTTTTTTAAATCTGTAGGAACATCAATACCGTTTCTCTGCTCTGCTGTTTTGTAGCTGACAGCCACTCTCAGCTATTTTTAACAGAACCACTTCCATTTTAATTGGTAAGTTAATGCTGGAACTTTTGGGCTGGGAATGAGGAACAAAGAGATGGAAGCCAAGCCACAGGCCTGGAATGGGAGACGTGGGATTCTGTGATTTCCCCCCAAAGAACTTTGCTTTGATTCCCACCAAGAAAACATCAATATTTGGTTAGCTTAGCTGGATGTGGTCACCTTAACCAGGGTAGTCTGGACAACGGGCCAACGCAGGAGATGCTGACCTTCCATGATGCAAGCAGGACCGGAGTTCACAATAGAACAGAAGCTCCATCCAACTTAGTTGCTTACTTTTCTGAATCCAGGGCAATCAAGGCACTCTCCAATGTTTCTTTAACCGGCCCTTGAGGTAAGCCAGTCGGGGCCGGCTTAGGGAACGTCGATGTCCCGGCCAAATCGAACACCTCAGTGGACAAGTTCTCAGGTCTGACTTCTTCAGGTTGCTGCGTGGCAGGCCCGCCGAAACTGAACCCAAGAGAACAAAATCCCAACAAATGTTCATTTTGCAAAACGAAGCAAGTCGCTAGTTGGGAAATCACGTGGCCACAATCGTACTTTCCAGTCGGAAACGTTCAAAACTACCCAGTTTCACACCTTCGGCTTTTGTTTGCCTTCTAACCACCCCCCCCCCACCAATAACTTGGGAGTGCTTGAGTGTCTGTCTTCTACACATTATATTGGCAGCCTGGGACTGGGAGCCACAGGTACACTACACAAATAGCTCCCTCTCTTCAAATCCCTTTCTCTCCAGTCTCTCCCCTCTGCGGGCGGGATAGGGGAACAAAGGCAAACTTATTTCTGCAGGCAAACTCTCCTTTGCCTGACCCTTTTCCGGCTGCCAGTGCTATCGCATTGCTTTTGATGCGTAGAAGAACAAAACAGCTTAGTCTCTTGAAATCACTCTCCAAATTCTCTACTTGTGTGGAGGGAGGGGGGGCACAGGAGGGTCAGGCCAAAAGGAGATTGCCTACAGAAACTGCTTGTTCTCCTCCCTCCACAGTGGAAAGAGATAAAGATTTTAAGAAAATGAGAGGGGGGTGGTGGTGAGGGAAGGATGAAGAAGGGAAGGGAAGGTCCAACAACTGGAGAAAGCCACACACCCCTTCCTCTTCCTGCTCTCCTTCCAGTTATGAAGGAGCTAAGCTTTGGTGGGAGAAAGAAGTCTCTCCAGCCAGGATTTACCTTCCAGTGGTCGTGTCGGCCTTTCCTTCTGAAGCGCTTGGTTTCTTCTGCTCCAAGGTCAGCAGCAGGCTGGAGGTGGTGTCTGCCTTGGCCACCGTGACCTCTTTCGCCTTGGAGGCCTCCTCCCCACAATGGGGGCAGTAGCTCATGCCTTTGACGTGGGAAGTGCAGTCTTTGTGGAACCGGTGAGAGATGCCGCTTTCCGGCTGGCACTCCATGAAAGTGCCCTGGAAGGAACGGCCAAAGGGGGAAAAAAAAAAAAAACACAAGTAGTCCTCAAGTTACAATCAAACCTGAGCCCCGAATGTCTGTGGCTAAGTGAGTTTGGCCCCACTTTACGGCTTTCTCTCCACCGCTGTGAAGGGAATCACTTTGCTTGTCAGAAGGTTGCAAAAGGTGGGGGGGGAAATCACGTGATCCCGGGACGCTGCAACCGTCATAAATATGAGTCAGTTGCCAAGCGTCTGAATTTTGATCCGGTGAGCAAGGATTGTAAGTGTGAAAAACGGTCCTAAGTCACTAAATGAGCTGTTGTAAAGTGGAGGACTACTTTACCCTCTGCTTCCAGTAAGCAATTTTATTTTAAGAAGAGACTGTGGCTTGGGCACCAGAACATCAAAGCCAGGATCCACTTGGACTGCCACTCGTTCGTTTTTCTCGCCACGCGCACGTATCCATAACCCAAACTAGAGTGTGTTGTTTCTCTGTGTCATATAACATATGTGGGTACGTGCATAATTCTGTGTTTATTTCTTTATTTTTGTCCTGTTTATGTCGTGGTGACCCTTGGAGAGCTGCGTGCAACGGAATTTCATTTTAAGGTATGCCGATTAGTGTACGTTCAAAGGGGCAATAAAGTTATTGTTCTATTCTAATCGCCGTTCCAGGATTTGGGGTATTTTTTTTTAAAAAAAAATCCTTATTCTTATTTTATCTGTTGCCCAAAGAAAGGGGAAACTTACAGGGCAACTGTCTCTGGAAAGAGGCGATGCTTACCGCCATGCAAAAGAAGCCGCAGCCAGGACAGCACTGATGCTTCACCATCCTCCCTCGGTGGTCCTCGCACAACACCAGGAGCTGGACTTTGTTTGAGGCACGCATCAGCTCGTATTTCAGCACGCGGTTGGTGCATCGGCTCAGCTGAGGGTGGGGTGGGGTGTCGGGGAAAGAAGAGGGAGGGAGAGAGGAAAAAGAGATTTCTGGCTAGCGCACGGACGTGAAAGAGAAGAACTATGTGAAATGGTGTGTCGGCAGCTCTTTTCACACAGCCGGCGGGCAGCAAAATCCCACCAGCCAAGCCCCCTGGGACAAGGGGAGGCCCAGGGAGGGCAATGCGTTTGGGGGTAAACCATCCGTGGATGCCACATCTCTGCCTCCTCTCGCTTGGCTACCTGAGGGAAGGGCGAGCCTCCTGGCCAAAGAGTGGGTTAGCCTGATTGAAGTGCAAAAAGTCATCCCCCAAAAGAGAAAATGGATTGGAAAAGGGTGGTTTTCCCATATCAAGGCACCTTACCTCCTTATCCACACTCTCTGTGGCCATGCACTGGTTGTTAGCCAGTGTGGTGATCTCCCGGCTTTTTGGGGTTTCCATCCGGCAGCTACAAAGAGGCACTTCTTGGAGACATTCTGTTTCCATTGCTCCAGGACCATTAGAAAGACCTGCGGGAGAAAAAAGAAAGGGAAAGAGAGATTCCAACAGAAGGTTAAGACAGAGCAGGCTACCCTAAGGGGCTGCCCCAAAGAAGAGGGGGTCAATCTCTTCTCCAAAGCGCCTGGACAAGAAGCAATGGATGGAAACTCATCAAGGAGAGAAGCAATCTAGAACGTAAAAGAAATTTCCTAACAGTGAGAACAATTAATCATTGGAACAACCTGCCTCCAGAGGTTGTGGGTGCTCCATCACTGGAGGTTTTTGAGATTGGATTTGTCTGAAATGGGATAGAGCAGGGGGTCTTCAAACTTGGCCCTTTCATGACTTGTGGACTTCAACTCCCAGAATTCCTCAGCCAGGCATGCTGGCTGAGGAATTCTGGGAGTTGAAGTCCACAAGTCATAAAAGGGCCAAGTTTGAAGACCCCTGGCTTATATGGTCCATGCTGGCTGAGGAATTCTGGGAGTTGAAGTCCACAAGTCATAAAAGGGCCAGGATGGAAGCAGTTCCTAATAATGCCACCTTATTATTATTATGATCATCGCATAGTCAGCCAGATGTTCAGACTGGATTTGGCATTTTGTCTACCTATCGAGTCCTTACCAAGGACCTGGGATAGGCAGACGTGGTTGTTGTTATTATTATTGTTGTTGTTGTTATTGTTGTTATGATGGCACCTGGCAGACTCTTTACTGTAAGAAATGTCCCATTTGCTCCAAATTCAGTGAGGTTCCTGTTTAGCTCTGCTGTCCTCCAGCTGTCTGGCAGATTAGAAGTGTTGGCCAACGCATTCCAAAGATCCAAGGTTGCTTCAAAGTGCCTCTATTGGATCTACACATCTGCAGCCTTCCAGAGGGACAAGAACAGGCAACCTTTGGATTTCATCCCAGCTATCGGAGCTAGGAATGGCCTTCTACATTTGGCCATCAGCCTACTCAGAAACCTTGGCTGCTGCTCAGAATGGTTAAACTAATCTACTCTTCCCCTGGTCCCCGGAGCAGGTGCTCAGCAACTGCTGTTTGAAATCAAAGAGTGGGTGCCCCAGTTTCTCACAATCAATGCACTCTGCCTTGTCACAGCTGTAATGAGAGGGAAAGGAGAGAAACCTTTCCCATCATCTCGAGCAGGGACTAAGACCACGGTTGGGCTCTAAAGGAACATGACCAGGTTCTCCTGCCAGCCGGGCAAACCGTGTCTCCCGGAATGAAGATCAGAAGCTACGCCGCCTTGGGCAAAGAGGTTGCGGACGGAGCAGCCAGATGAAGCTCCCTGGTTGAGCAAAACGATGGAAAAGCTCGCTCTGCTCTTCCAAAATAGACAAGGCTCCAAGGAAGCTCATAGAAGTTCGTGGGATCTGAGCTTTGTTGGATAAGAAAGGCCAATCCTGGTCAGCAGAAGAGCAAAGAAGAAGAAACCAGGGTTGGAAGCTATCGGGAGACACCGCCAGTGAATTGAGTGGCTTTGCGGCATCCTGGTCCTCAATGGAATAGAATAACAAGCGTTGGAAGGGACCTTGTAGGTCATCTAGTCCAACGCCCCCCACTCAAGCAGGAGACCCTACACCATTCCTGATAGACGGCAGTCCAGTCTCTTCTTGAAAGCTTCCAGTGATAAAGGTCCCACAACTTCTCTTCCGTTGGTGGGTGGTTCTCACTGTCAGGAAATTCCTCCTTATTTCTAAGTTGAATCTTCCCTCCGTTTCCATCCGTTATTCCTTGTCTGGCTTTCAGGTGCTTTGGAGAACAGGCTGGCCCCCCTCCTCTCATGAGACCCCCCCCCAAAAAAATATTGGAAGACTGCTATCCTATCTCCCCTGCTCCTTCTCTTCGCCGTGCCCAGTTCCTGCAACCGTCCTTCCTATGTTTCCAGTCCCCTTTGAGGATCCCCCAAGCATCTTTTCTGCCCCACCTCCCTCCTTTCTCCAGAGGTTGCTGGGCCAAGAGATCCACTCGGTCTCTAGACTGCTGCTCTCTCCATTGGATCCATCTGTGACACACACACACACACAATCTCTTTTGGAGGGATGCCAGCCAGCTCTCCTTCTCCCTATTAAGCATCCACCAGGGGGCATCATCTTAATATAGAGAAATGAATCCAAGGAAACAAAAGAAGGAAAATGGTACATGGCCATATTTAGACGCTTGACACACTCACCTTCTGGTTGCGAAGAAGACAGAACGCCCTTCACCCGAAGATCCAAGGAATGCAGGGGCACCTCCATGTACTCCATGCTGTTCTCCTGCTCGGCTCCTTCTCCGCTCCCCAAAGGGGGCTTGTAAGATTCAGGGCCTGGTTTTGAAAGACATGTAGATTGAGCACGCCAGGAAAGAAGGATGCATGTGCCTCTCTCTTTAAAGGCCAGATTCATCGCTAGCAGACAGTAGGCAGGCTACACCCGCTTGCTTGAAGGATCGGTAAATACAGATGCGGAGAGAACAATTAAAAGGCAACCGCTGGGCCCACGGAGGCTGATCTCCTTGGGTGGGTGGGGGGTGGGGTGGGGTGGAGATCTCCTTCTCCTGTTGCACAGTGGAAAGTTCTTAGCTACCGGGCAGGTTTAAGCAAGGGGGTTAGCTTCTCTTTTGGAGGCATCTGAGTGCTTCTGCACAGCACTAGGGGCAGGAATTCCTCTGGGAAGGAAGGAAGGAAGGAAGGAAGGAAGGAAGGAAGGAAGGAAGGAACAGCAAGAGAAGGAAGGAAGGAAGGAAGGAAGGAAGGAAGGAAGGAAGGAAGGAACAGCAAGAGAAAAAGGAAGGAAGGAAGGAAGGAAGGAAGGAAGGAAGGAAGGAAGGAAGGAAGGAAGGAAGGAAGGAAGAACAGCAAGAGAAAAAGGAAGGAAGGAAGGAAGGAAGGAAGGAAGGAAGGAAGGAAGGAAGGAAGGAAGGAAGGAAGAACAGCAAGAGAAAAAGGAAGGAAGGAAGGAAGGAAAAAAGAAAGAAGGAAAAAACAGCAAGAGAAAAAAGGAAGGAAATGAAAGAGGAAGGAAGGAGAAAGAGAAAGAGGAATAGAAAGAGAAAGAGAAAGGGAAGGAGGAAGGTAAGAGCTGGCCTCCTCTTGGCTCACCCTACTCAGATGCCAAGAGCCTTGAAGAGCCAGGCCCCACCAGACCAGCCAACCATCCATGGAGCAGAAGACATGGGACTGAAGGCAAATAGAGCTGCTTGCAAGCCAATCCCAGCTTCCCTATTCAGCAAGGCGGAGCCTGCTAATGAAAACTAACGTGTGGGAACCAGTTCACGCTTCTTCTCCATTTGCACCTCCATCTCTCTCACACGCACATTCCAGCACACGGACAGAGAGACACATGCACAAAGAGACACACACAGACAGACGCAAAGCCCTTCCCCTCTCCTGCCACCTGGGAACAAGCCCAGGGCACCCAGGGCCAGCTGAGTGGTCCCCTGCCCCATCCTTTGGCCCTTCCTTCTGCTCAATCCGGCTGCCACTGGGCCCAAGGCGAAGGGCAAAAAAATCCCAATGATTTTGGCAACGTGGATGGCACAACCGTCGCTCTTTCAAAAATAAAAATGATAGTTGAGCAACCATCCGGAGGGAGCGCGCGAGAGGCCGAACAATTGCAAGGAAATCAGAAACCAGAGCTTAGTGGCCCTACGCGTTGAGAAGCAAGGAAGCGTGGGCCCCTTGCAGCAGGTATCCAGATGTTTGACCTGTGGACCACTCCGTGCCTTCCCGACGGATGGAGTGGCCCTTAGGAAACGATCCTAGATATCTGAGCTGTCGTCCCGAATCACCTCAGGGACACAGACGCTTCTCCTGAAGGAAGAACCAGCAAAACCACCAGCGTATGGTCTCAGAAGGAGAATTTCCTAGGTGGAGGAAAGCACGATCCAGCTCAACCGGCAACTTCTCCTATCAGCCCAGCTATAGAAATATTGATGGACACAGCTGCTCCTCCACCCCTCTGAGCTGAACATCTGGATATGGCTATTCTATTTCTGGAAAAGATCATCCAGGAAGCCCCCAAGTTCCTGGATGATCTCTTAGCTAGCACCTAGTTGAAGGGGATGAAACAACCACAGGCTCACTTGAAGCCAACCATCCTGGTCTGGTAAGGCTGTCCTTTTAGAAAGAGCAGAGACAGAGTGACACACGCAACGCTCCTCGGCCCTTGATCCTGAAAACTTGCCCCGTAAACCGAAGGGCCAACAAAGGTCCGTTTCCATTTCACAGAAGAGAAGAAAACTCTTTGACAGCTGAGACTGGAGAGGGAGGCAAATTGTAGCTTCCAGATATTCTGCCAATTGGCATCTCCTGGAAAGCATCATTGCCCGATCCCTTCCCTTGAGGTCTCTGATAAAGAAGCAACTTAAAATAATAATAATAATAATAAAGAGCAGTCCAACTCCCTTACCTATCAGGTTAGTTTTTTTCTTTTTGTTCCTCCGCCTCCGTTTCCGGGTGGGTTTCAACCACGGGCTCTCCGTTTTCCCCTTCCGTTTCATCAGCTTCTTCTTGAGACTGGACTCGGAGCTCTGCAAAAGCCACCAGAACCACTGGCTTTAGAAGAAGGAGGCCTGGCCTGCCATGGTTACGGTGGTCCTGGTCCCCCCCTACCCCACCCGTTTTCTTGGAAGTGACAAGAAAGTGGAGAGGAGGCACAGTTGAGCGACATTTAGCAACAAAGCTGAGGCCAAGGAGTCAGTGCTGGTACGCTGCAGGATAAAACTGCAAAAAAGATAATCACAGCCCTGTTGGCTTACAGTGTGTGGCCGTCCAGCTTTTCCCGTAGCAGAGAAAGAAAGAAAGAAAGAAAGAAAGAAAGAAAGAAAGAAAGAAAGAAAGAAAGAAAGAAAGAAAGAAAGAAAGAAAGAAAGAAAGAAAGAAAGAAAGAAAGAAAGAGGGAGAAGGGGAGGGAGAGGAAGAAAAAGAAAGAGAGGAGAGAGAAAGAAAGAAAGAAAGAGGGAGGGAGAGAGGGAGGAAGTGGGAGAGAGAAAAAAGAAAAGAAAGAAAGAAAAAGAGAAAGAAAGAAAGAAAGAAAGAAAGAAAGAAAGAAAGAAAGAAAGAAAGAAAGAAAGGAGGGAGATGGGGAGGGAGAGGGAGAAAGAGAGAGAGAGAAGGAGAAAGAAATAAAGGAAAAGAAAGGAAAGAAAGGAGGGAGATGAAGAGGAAAAGAAAAAGGGAGAGAGGGAGGAAATGGGAGACAGAAAAAAGAAAACAAAGAAAGAAAGAGAAAGAGAAAGAAAGAAAGAAGAGGGAGGGAGACGGGGAGGGAGAAGGAGAAAAAGAGAGAGGAGAAAGAGAGAAAAATAGAGAAGGAGAAAGAGAGAAAAAGAAAGAAAGAAAGAAAGAAAGAAAGAAAGAAAGAAAGAAAGAAAGAAAGAAAGAAAGAAAGAAAGAAAGGAAGGAAAGATCCAGCCTCCCCAATTGCTAAAGTTAATTCATTTGTTAAAAATTACCAACTGAAGCCATCCTGATTATCTTCTCTTAGCTGCTTTCTTACTCCCAGCACCGCGCACGCCGTAACAGAACCACGCCGGTAACTCTCGACTTAACCACCATTTATTTAGTGACCAATCCAAAGTCACAATGGCCCTGAAAACAGGGACTTTGCACCGGTACCCGGGCTTGCAACCGCGGCAACCTCCCCACGGTTACCGGATCAAACTTTGAGGCGCTTGGCAACCGGCATCCCTTTGCAAGGGCTGCAGGACCACCGTTTGGGACCTTCCCAGTTGGCTTCTAACAAGTGGTGTCCAGTGTGTGTGTCTGTCTGTGTGTGTGTGTGATTTGGTTAATGACCACATGGGTCACTTAATTGCAGTCATTTGCTAACAACCTAGGCATAAAAAGTCATAAAATCAGAGGTGACTCCTTTAACAACCCCCTTGCTTAAACTGAAGTCGTAAGCTGAGGACTACTAGTACAGCACAAGATAATTTACGTCCCGGCTAACAGCATTGTATTTTGTTAAAATGTCTTGCCCGGTCTTTCCGAGTGCGGGGGATCTAAACAAAAAAATTAGAAGAGAAAAACCACCACAACGAAGAAAGACGCAGGCTTTCAGCCAGACCCCTGTATACAAGGAAATTGAACTACAGATCAATTAACAATCGATTAAAAAAAAACAGATTTTGATAAGAGGGACATGAAGGTTATGGGAAGCAGGCAGATCAGCAACTCTGAACAAACCAAAAGAACCTAGTTAAAGGGGTTAAAACACACCACAGGCTGACTTGGAGCCAACAATCTAGGTTTGGTTACTAAAAAAAACACAAGAGATGGATTCACGCGTGCATCCTTTGGAGAACTGAACCCGATCCACGTTAACCATAATTCTGCCATTATGTCCAAAATGAGAAACCATCAATGAACAGGATCCCGGGTTAGTAAACTTACCTGAAGCCAGTTTGCTGTGGTTCTGGGCATTTATATGTCACAGTGGCTCCGTATCAAGTCATAGACACACACCAAAAATATTTCAATAACGGGTCAAAAATAATAATAACAATGTCAACATTTGGAATTTGAGAAGGAATTCAGTTAGAGGTGTCACTCACAAAAATTACGCCCTTCTATCACCAGACTCAAAGTCAAAAACACCCTGTTGGGACATAATGGATACTACATTTCAAACCATGGTTTCAAGAAGCTACGTTGGTTATGTTATATAGTCTCCCATGTGAACCACAATGGAATAATAGCAAGTTTGCTAGAATATGCTAACGGAGAAGGATTTTGTTCTGTTGGATGAAATGAAGAGGGGAGGGGAGGGAACGGAAGAGAAGAGAAGAGAAGAGAAGAGAAGAGAAGAGAAGGGAAGAAAAGAGAAGAGAAGAGAAGGGAAGGGAAGAGAAGGGAAGGGAAGGGAAGGGAAGGGAAGGGAAGGGAAGGGAAGAGAAGAGAAGAGAAGAGAAGAGAAGAGAAGAGAAGAGAAGAGAAGAGAGAAAGCTTTCTTGGTACGAGAAGCTTTGGCGAAGCAACTGAGATGAGACACCATAGCTCCATCTGGGCCCTTCATTAGGGGACAATGCAGATATACCACAAAAGGAAGACATTCTGCCTTCTTGAGATTGAGACGGGCCAATAAAGGTGAATATTTGTAGCTCAGGGCTGAGAAGAGGGGTCCTTTGTGCTCTCTGAGCTGGGTTGTTTCCTTGCAGATGTTTCACTCACAGTTATCTAGTTTGGGCAAGGAAACATCTGCAAGAAAACAGCCAAGTTCAGACACAATCACGGCAAGAAGCAAGCAGTGGATGAACCACCAGGCACTCAGCAAAATCCCGATTGCAAGAAGTAGAACAGGGGTCTTCAAACTTGGCTCTGGTATGTCTGGTGGACTTCAGCTCCCAGAATTCCTCAGCCAGCGTGCCTGGCTGAGGAATTCTGGGAGTTGAAGTCCACCACTCATACCAGGGCCAAGTTTGAAGACCCCTGAAGTCAGAGTGTCAGGGCCAAGGCTTCAAATGATCTCAGCTGGGAAGGGATGGGAGAAATCCATCTCATTCAAACCTGGAATTGTCCTGGAGACCAACAAATGCTTTTTGTCTTGGTTGAGACACACTCTTCTCTAACTACAGCTCACGGAGAAGCACTTTCCTGCCCAAGCTGTCCCTACCTCCCTTCAGGGGAAGCAGAATAACTCAATTTAGCACCAGGAAAGAGCGGAACGTCCTTCTATCTCAAACATACAGTATATGTCCGTCCTTAATCTCTTTCCCTATGGCGGTTCCCATGAATAGGGTCTCTTTGTTCATCACGCTAAGCCAGCCTTACCTAACCTGGATGGCTTCCAGGTAAATGATCTCAACCTTCCTTGCAACTGCTCTCCCCCCAATCGTTATGGTCCAGATTTGCCTGGCTAATCCACCAGGTTTTTTTTAAATCTAGAGTCAGTTGAATAAATTAGCCATTGTAGTTTTGACTTGCACAAAACGCTAAGCCTACATGGAGGGCATGCTCCACTAAACGAGGCGGCCGTCTCCAATTGTCAAATGAGAAATCCCAAAGGTGGTGGGGGGTTCTCCTCCCCCAAAACTGGACTTTCTTGGTGTTTTCTTTGAAAATGTTTTGCTTCTCATCCAAGAAGTTTCTTCAGATCTAACTTGGATGAGAAGCAAAACATTTTTTTTAAAAAAAAAAAAACCATTAAGAAAGTCCAGTAGCCCTTTAAAAAAAGCAATACAAACATACACGTGCACGTACACACACACACACACACACACTGCTTTTTCCAAAAAGTCTAGTTGGACTTTCTTGGTGTTTTTTTTTAATATAAAAAACGCTCACTGATTAAGCCATAGTCTGCAGTTACACTACGACCAGGACATCCTAGGGTAAACCACAGCTGAACTATGATTCATGGTCACAGATTCAGAGCGATGCCTCCTGTCGCAGCTTCTCAGTCCTAACTTGATGGGAAGCTTTCTTGTGATCAAACCTGAGTTATTTTGCAAGCCAGGCAGGGAAGAGTAACCTTGGTAACATAACTATTAATTCAGTTAGAGAACAGACTATGGAGAGTTCAGTTTGCATGCATCTGCTAGAAAGACGGATTGCTTTTATTTGTCAAGCCGTTACAAACTTAATTTTACTGTTTCATGAATTATTTTGGCTACCTACTAATAGGTGAAGATTTAAGACCGTCCTGAATGTTTAATTTAAAAAAAAATAGCCAATTAAAAATCCTTTAAGAGAAGGCAGTCCGATACCTGAACATTAAATCTCTTACACCAATTATTAGAGTGATTAGCTCTCGGCCCCTTCGTTTTGAAGAATTGATTTCTTTCTGCAGTTTTTGTCCTATGGGCATATGATATAATAATTGAATAGTTAAAATTCAATAATAATTACTGAATTTTAATCACAGATCTGCAGACAGATCTGAGACAAGTCCAGGAAAACCTAGGTATTTGAGAACTGTGTTTGTAAGAAATGGGCCAATTGCAAGAATCAAGGTTTCAGACCTATACATTTTGCAGGAATTGGCTGTATCCAAGAAACAGCAGATGGAAACTAATCAAGGAGAGAAGCAACCTAGAACTAAGGAGAAATTTCCTGACAGTGAAAACAATTATCCAGTGGAAAAACCTGCCTCCAGAAGTGGTGGGTGCTCCATCACTGGAGGTTTTTAAGAAGAGACAGAACAGACATTTGTCTGAAATGGTATAGGGTCTCCTGTCTGAGCAGGGGGTTGGGCTAGATGACCTCCAAGGTCCCTTCTATTGTTGTTATTTCCTTAGGTCCAAGAACTAACTTCTGCATGGACGTATGAAACACGGTTACCCAAGATTATCATCTTATGTCTATTTCCTTGGTGTAAAAGTCCTACAGACACAGGTAGATTGACTGTAGAAAAAACTACGGCCAGGAGCCAGGACTACATCGCTCAGCCTCAAGCCTATTCACGTTTATTTAAAAGTTAAGTCTTGTTTAACACCATGGGACTTCTTTGCCAGCCACTTTCATAGAATTGTGCCGGGAGAATCCGTAGAGTGGACCAATCGGTTGCACTGTCATCATTAAGTCTCTGCAACGGGAGGCCAAAATCTGCAAGATGGTGGACACCATTCCTCAACTAAGCTATGGTTCCTTCTGCCTCAACTGAACCGAACTTCGTTGTCTGGATTTTGAGACATTCTCCCCCACCAATTAAATGCCACAGACTATCAAGGAATCTCACTATTCACTCCACAGCTAAGAGCCAAACGGAATACATCTTCCTGAATCAGGGACCAACTATTTTTTTTTCCCCCCAACCTCAGGTCCCTCCTCTCCCCAACAGACCCCAAACTTTGAAAGATTTCTGCAACTTGATGACCCAACGTTAGTAAATTTGGGGACAGCCACGTGGTCATTTAGAAGTTGAGGCCCACAACTGCCCAGTGGAGGAGAAGAAAGGGTCCAAGGAAAAACAGAACGAAATGAAACCAGGGATCTGAGATCTAAGCCAGGAGACGGAAAGCACTTGAGGACGCATGTCTTGGATCATTGGAGGGAAGGGGTGGAGAGAGACCCAGCACCGCACCATGGATGATCCAGCTCTCCTACCAATCGCCTGGCCATGAATTCAGGTTGCTGAATAGGCTGCAAGAAGCATAGAATCAATGCATAAGCCAGCACTTTCCCCTAACTGGGATCCTTCGAGTACAATAGCCCAGGGCTCTCCAACCTTGGTGGCTTTTAAGACTTGTGGACTTTGACTCCCAGAATTCCTCGGTCAGCTATGTTGGTTGAGGAATCCTGGGCGCTGAATCCACAAGTCTGGCTGAGGAATCCTGGGAGCTGAAGTCCACAAGTCTGGCTGCATAAACCAGGGGTCTCCAACCTTGGCGACTTTTAAGACTGGTGGACTTCAACTCCCAGGATTCCTCAGTCAGCCATGAGGATTTCTGGGAGTTGAAATCCACCAGTCTTCATATGGCCATGATTGGAGACTACTGCGGTAGACTACAACATCCTCCGTCATGCCTGGCCAGCCCTTCTGGCAGGGGAGGATGTGAGTTGTAATCCAACACACCAGGCAATTCCTTAGCGGGTGGGTGGGGAGAGCCCATTCTGGTCCACAGAAGCCCCAAAGTCTGAGCAATGGCTCTTGATAAGCGGCAGCAGCAGCAACAGCAGCAGCAGAAGCAGCAACAGCCTCGGGGCGTCTTGCCTTGCCTCCTGCAGAACTTGGCCCTGGGCAGGGTCTGTCTGGGCTACGTGCCTGCTTCTGTCCTGCTTCTTCCAGCTCTGGGCATGCCTGTATGGACTGCACCTTGGCCTTGGCACCTGGCAACCAAGAGCAGACCCCCGCTGAGGCCTGACAAGAAAGCAACAGACTTTTATTGAAGAGATGGGCATCCACGGTTCCCCTTGAAACCGCCAAAAGAGAAAAAAAAAACCCCAACAAAACCACAGTGTGGCTGCAAACTGGATCAAGCAAGGGAGGGAGGGAGGGAGAAAACAAAACAGAGGAATCTTGCACGAACAACGGAATTCCCTTGGCTGGGCCTGGATGGTGCTGGGTTCCTCGCCGTCGCTTGCTTCTGGAAGCACGGGGCGAGAAAGGTGGCACTCACCAAATCCGACTCATCGCCGTCTTCCTCCTCTTCAACGGAGTCTGCGGAATCTTGTTCCTCCTCCGATTCTCCGTCCACCATCTGTGACAGCCAAAGAAGCTCACGTGAAAATAGAAAAGGCAACCCCTGCTAAAAGGATCGAAGCAAAACTGGGTCTCACACACCTGTCCAGATCTGTAGGCTATTCTATCTTGGTACCTTGTAGGTCTACGGAGAATCTCGATCATCCAGGTCAGGGTTGTCCCAAGCGTGCTTTTCCCAAGATCGGAAGCCCAGTTGCCTCTTGAAAAAGCACCTTTGGGACAGAATTTCCTATCCTTGGTCTATCCTGATAACGGAGCCTAAAGTAGACGTCCTTCATGTCATCAGTTACTTCAAAAGCAAGTCAAGTTCTCAACCTTGTCTTTCAATGCTCTCTTTAGGTTCTCCAGATCTAAGAAAGAACATCTTTGGGTCTTCTAATTGGAGTCTCATCTTTCTCCAACAGGACCAAGGGTCCAGTGTGATAACAACACACACATCAAGCTGGAAGTTAAGATGATACTCTTGTGAGTTTTTGTTTTTTTTCACAGTGGACAAAGAAGACTTGAGATACATAACAAGGTGTAGAACTCTTCCTCTGAATGACGGACCTTGTCACAAGACTTTAAATAATATTATAATTTATATCAGAGTACAATCATTTTAGACCCACAATCCTCCAGAGAAGAATACAGATCACCTTTCTAGCATTGCTAACAGCCACTGGTTCTCTCTCAATAGCAGTTCTGTTCTCCTCCACGGGAAATGTGGCTGTTTGATATGCTCCACGTTCTTCTTCTTCCTCCAGTTCATCCGAGTCGTCTTCTTCGGAATCAATATCTAATCGTTCCCCGTTCAAGTGTGGGCTGCCCTCCTCCTTCTCAACCTGGACATTCCAACACAGAAAGGTCCATGGTGAGTCTAGAGCTCACGGACATTTTGAAGATTTTGTGGAACGGAGGAAAGTGAAAATTACTGTTCCATCTAGTTCATCTAGAGCCGGCCATGTGCGGCAGCAGCCAACAACGCGAATACAATCCTTGGTTGTATCAACAAAGGCACAGAATCAAAACCACGTGAACTATTAGTACCGCTTTGTAAAGCCTTAGTAAGGCCACATCTGGAATACTGCATCCAGTTTTGGTCACCACCTTACAAAAAAGATGTTGAGACTTTTAAAAAAAAAAAAAGTGCAAAGAAGAGCAACTATGATTCAAGGCCTGGAGACAAAAACATATGAAGAACGGTTGCAGGACTTGGGTTTGGCTAGTCTAGAGAAAAGAAGGAATAGCGGGAACATGACAGCAGTATTCCAGTATTTGAGGGGCTGCCACAAAGAGGAGGGGATCAATTTATTCTCCAAAGCACCAGAATGCAGGACAAGAAACAATGGATGGAAACTAATCAAGGAGAGAAGCAGCCTGGAATTAAGGAGAAACTTCCTAACAGTGAGGACAATTAACCAGTGGAACTGCTTGCCATCAGAAGTTGTAGGTGCTTCATTGCTGGAGGATTTTAAGATGAGACTGGACAGCCACCTGTCTGAAATGGTAGAGGGACTCCTGCTTGAGTAGGGGGTGAGACTAGAAGATCTTGAAGGTCCCTTCCAGCTCTATTCTGATTCTGATTCCAATGCCATGGTGTCTCTAGGAATCATCCATGGCTCTCTACTGATTCCAAGAGGGGAGAGACTTTCGTAGGGGTGCCTGACAATGCAAGCAAACCCCACGTGAAGAGCATTTGATACACCTGGCTACCTTCTTCCTGCTTCTCACCTTGCCGTCTGGAGAATGAGCGATGCTTTTGAACATCTCAATCACCGTTCTCTGCTTTAAAACTTTGGTCTTCTTCTTGGGAACCAAGCTGTACGTTCCCATTCTTCTTTTTTTCTTTCGAGATACGGAAGTAGCTGCACGGGGGGGGGGGGGACACAGAGGAAGATCCATTAGGGGCTGGGAGAAGGTGGGTTCTGCTGGGGCAGGCTGGGAGGAATCCTACCCAGAACAGATTCCTTTTATTTATATATATATATAAATTTTATTAGTTTTTATGCGGTTAGGAATAAGGTAGGGTCGGGGTTGGGATAAAGGTTAAGGTTGGGGTTTTTCCAAATAACATTGTCAATATCATGGATTGGGGTTTGGAGAAATGGGGAATTAGCTTAACGTTTTGCCACAGGAACTTCAGATTCCGCCCGACTTCTCTGCAATCATTTTCTCTCAGTAAAAGATTCGAAAGTCGTGCTTTCCCGAGAAGATAGTTCAGGCAGGACCTTACACACGACCGTGCGGGGACTTTAGATAGAGCTTGGGAGATTAAAAGATCTCGAAGGAGCCCAGATCTCCTTCTCTCCATTCAAGGATGGAGACCCAACCTCATCTTTTCTCAGACCGTTCCTTTTCTTTTTCTTCCCCCCCCCCCCCTTTTTTTTACCTGTCTGTGATTTTGAGGCGGCTGCGTAGCTCTGATTCTGAGGTAGAGATGAGTGAAGGCCGGGGAGGCAGGACAAGGAGGTGGGCTTTCCGAATTCCAGAACAGCTTTGCTGCCGTCTTCCTTAGGCGTTCTCGTTTCTTTGGGGTCTTTGTTGGTATGCTGAAAAAACAGAAGTCGAAAAGGACCTTTTTATATTTTGCAATGAAGATGAAAAGTGGGAAACGTCTATGGAGCTTCTTGGTCATCCAGGTCATGGCTGTCCCCCAAAGGTGTTTTTTTTCAGGAGGCCACTGGACTTTCTTGTTTTTCTTTGAAGACGTTTCGCTTCTCATCCAAAAGGAGCTTCTTCAGTTCTGACTGGATGGTGGGGAGCAGAAGGATTTATACTCCTTGCAGACAGCTGGTCACTTGCCTTCTTTTAGAGAGTCGCTGAGGCCATTTGGAGGTTTACCTATGTTTTGCTTCTCCTCCAAGAAGCTTCTTCAGCTCTGACTGGATGGTGGGGAGTAGAAGGATTTATTCTCCTTGCAGACCGCTGGTCGTTTGCCTTCTTTTAGAGAGCCATTGAGGCCACTTGGAGGCCATTATGTGTCATGATGCAAATGGGTGTGGAGCCTGAGGACACTGGTTAAACTCCAAGTGGCCTCAACAACTCTCTAAAAGAATGCAAATGACCAGCTGTCTACAAGGAGTATAAATCCTTCCATCCTCCACCATCCAGTCAGAACTGAAGAAGCTTCTTGGATGAGAAGCAAAATGTCTTCAAAGAAAAACAAGGAAGTCCAGTTGCCTCCTGAAAAAGCAACTTTGGGATAAGAGAGGGAAACCACACTTAAAAGAATGTGTGTGTGTGTGCCGGGGGGGAATCCATTCGGTGAAATAACTTTGGGTTCAGATAGAAACAGATCCAAAATAGTAGCAAGGAATGGAACCCATGAAAGCAGCCACATCCAACAGGGGGTATGGACTTCAATTCCCATTTAAGCAGGGGGCCACGCTGCTGAGGAATTCTAGAAGTTGTGAAGAGGTGCCCAGGCTGGCTAAAACTAGAATGAAACGTGGTAAAGAAGCATAACCTCAAAACTGAAACCATCATAGATGAATGTCATGTTTGTAGCATGGAAATTGGCACTAAGCTGGAAACCAGGTAGCTGGGAGTTCTAGTTCAGCCAACTGGATTGACCGTAAGCCAGTCTTTTTTTTTCTCAGAAGGAGGTCAAGGGCAAAACATTTCCAAAACTTTTGTCAAGAAAACTTCAGGGATTTCTCCAGACGGTCCCTAAGAGTCAACACTGACTCAAAGGCCCATGTGGTTGTATGTATATACAAACAGTACTTCTCTCCGAAGAACCACGGGACATGTCTTTACTAAAAAGTCCATCCTAGGATGTGTATCTTGCACCATAATTTAAAACACTGGGTAGTTTGATGGCGTTTTGTAGGATCCACGTCAATCCCCCAAAACTATGCCAGAGGCAAACATTCTCCTATAAAGTTAAATTTCACTCCCCCAAAACTACGCCAGAGGCAAACATTCTCCTATAAAGTTAAATTTCACTTGTAATTATCCGGTGATGGAAAACGGATTGATGCTGTTCTTCAACTTTTGAAATTGCAAAGAAAACATATAGCTTGCTAATGTGATCAGTTATAAATAACTAAAAAAAAGATTTTCCAATCACCAAAAGCAGTCAAGATGGAATCTTTGAGATATCTGATAAAGAAAACGTTTTTGACATGTTTTAAATGTTCAAATCGGTTCAAAGCTTTACCTGGACATTATCTTTACTGGAATTATCAGCAAATGTCTTCAGGAACAGCCACTCAATGGCTCACATTTCCCTTGCATTATTTAGATTTGCAAAAAGCAAAAAAAAAAAAAAAGACCAGACCTCAAAACGTGTTATCAGAATGCCTGGATATCTGAATTTTAGAATTGTTAGAAATATAAATCCCTGTGCATTCTAGGAATAACCTAAAATAAAGGTTGCTCAGTTTAAAATTAGCTTAACAGTACAGATATTCCCTTTGCCAAATGTGACCTCCACTCTGCTCAAGCCGTAGGTTATTAATAAAGGTAGCCCTCATGGCCATAACGGAGCCTGGAATTTCTTAATTCTATTTTTCTTTGTATTTTTGCATTAAATAAATAAAAAGGAATTGTAAGAGGAACCATTTCTTTGAGGGTTTTTTTTTAAACCCCCCCAAAAGGGCAATCCTGAGAAATTTCCCGCCGTGCCGTCTGGTGGGAAGCCTTTAAACGTATGGCTTTGCAGAATAGGCCAGGCAATCAATACTCAAGAGTTTGCAGGCAGGATATGCTGGAGGCTGAAAGACAGCCTATTAGCACAAGAGGTTGAGGAGAGACATGCCAATTTTAAAATCCCGCCTTGCGATGTTTTTTGGCTGCTGGGAGTTAGAATCCCTGGCCGATCTATCGCAAATGATCAGGAGAGCCATGAAAGGGGGCTAATCTGTCCATCTCTGATCAGATAGATCTAGCAGCGTAGCAAAGTCCTTTCGGCAATTATGGCCAAAAGCCAACCACGTTTTAACTAACGGAGCATCCCAATGACTTGGATGTCTGTGGAGATTCTCTGTCATCCAGGTCATACTGCAGGTTAGTTCTGCCAACTGCCAGCAGTTCGATCCTGACCAGCTCAAGGCTGACTCAGCCTTCCTTCTTTCCGAGGTCGGTAAAATGAGGAGCCAGATTGTTGGGGGCCGAGGTGCTGACTTTGTAAACCGCTTAGAGAAGGGTATAAAGCACAGTGAAGTGGTATAGAATTCTAAGTGCTATTGTTATTATATACACATTACCAGGTGAGATGGAGACTTGGGTATTGTCTTCCGGGCTCGGTGGACCTTAATCCCGCCTGTTTTTTTAGCTTCCGGGTCTTTGCCACCCCCGTCTCCAAACTTGGCCGGGAGAGCACCCTGTGCCTGCATAAAAGGGCCGAACGTTCTCCCTTTGCTCCCTCCGGCCGGAAGCGTCTTCGCGGCGTGGCCCGGCAGAGAAGCAAAACCGCTATTCGAAGTCCTGACGGGCAGGTCCTGAGCCATCTGCTTGGGCAAAATGTACCCATTGCTGCCCGTCACGGTGGTCTGGGTGAAGTCGTTTGCTTTGAGGTGGTTGGACTTCCCAGCATCCCCGTCTCGTTCGGAAAAGCCGTTTTCCGCTATCCGGCTCAGCTTGGCCACCGAGTCCGCTTGGCTCAGTTTGGCATTGTCCTGAGTGTTCTTGGCTACGCTGGGGTGGCCGTTGAATTCGTTGCACTCCAGGGAGCCGTTGGTCTCGCCGTCGGGAGCCATTTTGAGTTCCCCAACTTGCTTGTCTATGGCGCCATCGCTGGCGGCCATAGCATTAAATCCTAGAGAAAGAGAGAGAGAGAGAGAGAAGAGAGAAATGAAAAAAATGTGGGAATGCCAAGAGGAAAGAAAGCAAATGTCAGGCTCAAAAAAAATCAGGGCCACCAATTAGACTGCAGCATAAATTTATTCAAGCCTAGACATAAGAATCTGGTTGACTCAAGTTCAACCCTAAATTGGCACCAGGTAAGAGTCAACGACTGGGAAAGATGGAGGGCAAGAGAAGAAGGGGACGACAGAGAATGAGGTGGCTGGATGGAGTCACTGAAGCAGGAGACGTGAGCTTAAATGGACTCCAGAAGATGGTAGAGGACAGGAAGACCTAGAGGAACGTTGTCCACGGGGTCGCGATAGGTCGGACACAACTTCGCAATTAACAACAAGAGTCAACGAAATTGATTCTTGAACACTTGTGTGAATGGGTGGATGATGGGTTTGACTTCACCCTCCCCAGCTCTGCCTGCTCTTCCTCTACAGCACCTGGTGTAAGGGGAAGGGTTCATAATGGCATTAATGTTGCTAATATTAATGCAGGGAGTTGGGACTCTAATGGTACAAGAGACTGGTGAGATGTTTCATTACTGAAAGTCAACTCAGCTTTACATGCGGCTCTAAGCCAATGTTGGATGATGTTATCGTGTTTCTGAGTCACACATAAGTCACAAAGTCCACGCTGTGAAAGACAGAATGTCTTTGGGGTTTCTGTGTCTACGATCTGTGGCAGATAACTACAGAGAAAAACACCAGCCAAAGAACTGTACTTTAAAATGAGTAAAATTTTGAACTAGGAAAGCGTTTGGAGAACGTCTTCAAAGAAAAACAAGGAAGTCCAGTTGCCTCGTGAAAAAGCACCTTTGGGACAATCCTGATCTGGAGGACTGAGAATCTCTATAGGCACAAAGCAAGAAGATTTTGCCAGATGGGCTAGGTCTAGCCTTGGATTCAAATCAGAAAAAGACCAAGCAGAATGCTGACATTTATACCCAACTGTAACTTTTAAAGTTCTGGAAGAGAAGTACAAGTCACCTGTGGTAATCTTTGGAAATGAACTAGGGTTATGCTTACACTAGCAACATCTTAATTGGAAATAAGAGAATCCTAGCCATCCAATGGTGAGGTTCGTTGTTCTCCATATGCAAGGAAGAGGACAGGCTGGACCTAAAAGATGGACTCACCTTCTTCTTTATTGTTGGTGATGTCTTTCAACAGCTCCGTCTTCATGCAACTCTCTCGTCTGGTCTCTCCCTTACTCATCAGAGCTTGCTAAATGGGAGAGAAGGGGAGAAAAAAAAGGTTAAGATGTAGGAAATAGAAATAAATAAACGATGCAGTGTTTGTGTTTATGAACTGGCAACAAGCACTGATTGAAGAAGGTGCATTTTAATCCCCAGGCCAGATTCATGATTCATGAAGAAAAGAAGAGGGACAGCCTGAACTTCCAAGACTGATTGATTGATTGATTGATTGATCAAATTTACAGGCCGCCCATCTTACCTTCTTCCTCTGCACTCAACTTCTTTCTTGTAGGGAATTCAACATCCGCCCACCCACCCAAGTCAACATCCCTTTCATGGTTTTAACCAAATCATTGTTCCATCTTACTCTACGCTATGATGATGTTTGGACAGGCAAACGGGTTAAATCCACAAGGTGCTTCAAAGATGACCAAACTCCACCCAGCAACATCTTACAATCAATTAAGATGTATTGAGATGTCTGATTGTTTGGTTCTGAGGGGGTCCTTGGTGCTTTTCTGAGCTTGGTGGTTTTCTTGGTGGTTTCTTCAAGACCTTTGTGAAACATCCCCAAGCAAATTGCCAAGTTCAGAGAGAGCACCCCACACCGTTCAACCCTAATTCTCCTGTTGGTGAGATGCCCTACATCGTACTCCATCGTTCTAGGCTTGGAATGTTGAGTTTCGATTCTCTGGGTTTATCTGTTGTTGTTTTTTTAAAGGTGGAAATAATTATGGGATTGTCAAAGGAACAAGGATGATTTGGAAGGCCACCAAGATAGTGGGTTATGCTGAGTATCAATACAGCAAGTTTCCAAAGGAGCAGAGATACTAAGAGACCTTTGAGCCAAGCCATCCTAAATTCAGTTCCCGTCCTTCCGTGCAATGTCGAATCAAGAAACAAAGGCTTCTAACACAAGAATATATTAGAATTAGAAAGGTGCGTCCCAGATTTCCAAAACCAATTATTTGGCAGAAAGTTCCGTTCAAAAAGGAGCCATCAAATGGAAGCATCAATCAAACACGCAAGTCTCCCTTTATGAAGCCCGAGATTCAAAAGAGAGTGGAAATTGAGAACCAACCACTAACCCAGTTCTGGCAAAATATACATTCTTCCGGAAAGCACTTTTTTTTTTTACACACGTAAAAAAAACACACATGGTTGGTGGGCCACAACCATTTTCCCCATAAGTCTCAATTTTGGAAAAGAAAGGACTGGGCATAATGGCTAAATTTGTGGATCGGAAGGACCAAATGAGGTAGCATGTCATTGGCTATGTAGGGTTTACATGCTTTAAAGAATTTCATCCTGATAAGATTCATTTTACCTACTTCTATCGCAAAAGGTTTGTTTTAACCAGTCTGTACTGGCTGCCCTCATTGTGTTGGTTTAGATAGATCTGGGAAAGCAGCTGACTGGATCAGATGTATTTTTTTTCCCCAGTCCTGCTTCCTTGTCCTTATGCCTGGACATAAAAATCTAATGGAGAAGGCAAGCGTGCAATCTGGCTATAACACTGATTTGTCTGAAAACAATACCCAGGAGTCCCGTCCCACAGGTGCTTTGTTTTTCCTTGAAGACGTTTCGCTTTTCATCCAAGAAGCTTCTTTAGTTCTGAATGAATGAACTGAAGAAGCTTCTTGGATGAGAAGTGAAACGTCTTCGAGGAAAAACAAAAAAATCCGGTTGCCTTTTGAAAAAGCATCTTTGGAACAACCATGAACCTGGATGACGGAGAATCTCCATAGACATCCAGACGTCCCAAAATCCTAAGCTCTGGAGCTGCTACTTAGCACATTTTTTAAAACATCAATCCCGTAACGTTTAAGTCGTATCTCATAGGGTGGATCTTACACAGCAACCTAAATGCATTTGCAAATTCATTCTAAAGAAATATTTAGATGAGATCATGAACGTTAAGGGCATGGGAGGAGTACCAAAAAAAAAAAAAAAACCCCAACTCTGAACAAAGCAGAACCATTGTAAAGGAAGATTCGATTCTCTAAAATCAGAATTAAACTGATGGGATTCCCTAGGTTTAACCAGGAGGAAAAGTTTCAACCAGAAATAGCACCGCTCAACAATCAGCATTTCCAAAATGGGTTTCAAAGTATACACAAAGAACAAATGTTTTTTTTTTTTTTTTTAGTTTGTCTTTAAAAAAAAAAAAAGGCCTGGCCAGCCACATCATAAAAAATGAAGCCATCTTGTCTCATGGGTGACATGGTTTTTAAATAAGTTCTATAACAGGCCTCAAAACCCTTCCCAAAATTGTCAAAAACCAAGCAACTCCTAACTAGAGTCAAGACTGAACTTGAGGCTGGTGAAGGATTTTAAGTTTCCGAAGTAACACACGTCTTATTTTTTTTCCCCTTTTAATTAGTCCTATTCTAAATTCCCAACCTCCTTGGGCCTTCCCAAACCCTGCTAGTTTACATCCCAGAAAGCATACAAGGATGCTTTTGAAAGTCTTCCACTGCTGTTATGTACATGACAGCCCTTGTTCCTGTTCACATCTCTAGTGCAAGAAAACCCACCCAACAGCAAAGCTTAGCCTGGGCGAAGTCCGTCCGCGTGCTCAACACACAACAATCCCAAATAAAGCAGACCAACCACAGACGTCCGTCTTCTAGCTCTTCGACAAAAGAGAACCCACCATTTTCTCTAACTGGCTTGAGATTCTTTTAACTCTTAGGAAGCCTTGCTAACATCCAAAGCTCAGCCTACACCACCTTTTTTCTTCTGCCATGCCTGTCATGGATCGTCATCAAAACACCCTGGGTTCCTCTTTCCCTTTTTTAACTCCCCCCCCCCCCAAACTCAACAGCCAGGGTGGAAATGCCTCCCCCCCCCCATTGGCTCTTTGTTTGGCAAGCTGTTCTCGGCAAGTTTTTTTTTGAGGGGGGGGGGTTAAGCCTTCAGAAGCCACGCAGGGGACAATCACCTTGCTTCAATTCCAAGGATTCTCTCCCTTCTGGATCCAGCACAAAGCTGTAGGTCAATGCACACCAAACAGAACCATGAAGAACTCAACCCAAGAGCCATGGAGACCCATACACGGGAAAAGCTAACCCAGATGCCATTTCTTTCTCTTTTTTCTTTTTTGCAATGGCCACCCAATCTTTTCCCCCCAGCCTCAACGTGCTCCCAGCAATCCTAGCAGAACCTCCATTGGCTCCCCCGCCCTCCCTGCTCCACTTAGAGCAAGAGAAACTTCCCTGAAGCTCTCCCATCCCCAATCTACCGGCCTGTGATTGGCAGAGAAATCTTATATCCAACCCTCCCAAGCAAAGAAATGTCGGCTTAGCAGCAGATCCAACAAAAGCCAAGAGCCAACCCAAGGGTTGCTTCAGAATAAAAGCCTCCGCACTCGTTTTTTTTGTTTTTTTTAATTTCCTCCCCTTTTCCTGCAGCTGTCTGTCTCCACTCTCCTGCCTTACAGCCCAGTGATTAATACTCTTCAGTCACTAGAGGGTCTATGCAAAGGTGGAATACTCAACCGTCAAAGCGGCGTCGGAGGCTAGAAACACAGAAAGAAATGGGTATGTCCAGTTTAATGAAGAGAAGGACCAGGGGTGACATGATAGCAGGGTTCCCATATTTGAGGGGCTGCCACAAAGAAGAGGGAGTCAAGCTCTTCTCCAAAGCACCCGAAGGCAGGACAAGAAGCAAAGGATGGAAACTCATCAAGGAGAGAAGCAACCTGGAACTACGGAGGAATTTCCTGACAGTGAGGACAATTAATCAGTGGAAAGACTTGCCTCCAGAAGTTCCATCACTAGAGGTTTTTAAGAAGAGATTGGACAGCCATTTGCCCCGAATGGCATTCGGTCTCCTGCCTGAGCAAGGGGGTGGACTAGAAGACCTCCCGAGGTCTGTTCCACCTCTGTTCTTCTGTTAAAACTACTACCTCCCAAACACCTTGGCAATGACTCGAGAGAAAAGGCGTTCTGGACAACGTTGGAGAATGGGACTACAAAGTCCTTGCTCCACTCCAAGGGACGTTGAAACCATCTTGTGCATGGTTAGCTAAAGGAGGCCACAGAGGGACACAAAGTCCTTGTTGATTCTGTCACTATCCCCTGTGACCCTAGCCAGGTGCTTGTTCCAATTGTGCAACCCTTTCAAAGCTGAAACAATGGGGGTCTCCCCACCTCGGTTGACCCTTTCTCCCCACCACCGCTGGTCTGCAGTGTTTGCCACTCACTTCCCATCAAAAGAAAGAAGAGGGGAGGGGAGGGGAGAATAGAGACGTAACAAGAATCGTGTTCAAGATGGCCACTGCAACAACAGAAAAGGAAGCCTGAATGTTTGGCGTCCAAAGGAGTCAAAACGCTTCCTTGCTTAGCCTGATAGAGAGAAAGAGAGAGAGAGAGAGAGAGAGAGAAATATATTGCAAGATTATTAGAAGTTTCAGTCTTATTCAGGAGAAGAAGGGGGAAGGCGGCCACTGCGGGGAAGAGGAGAAGGCAAGAGTTCCAAACATTCTCCTAAGCATACTTACCTGAAAGTAAGTGTTCAGTGAAATAAAGGGGACTTACTTCAACGTAAACATGCTTAGGCAAACTAGCATCCCTCATTGCCCAGGGTTTTCCCCCTCGGAAGCAGGAAGCAGTCCGGGTTTTTTTTTAGCCTTTCTGGTTCCCTAGATCTATAAGAACAACAAGAAGAAAACAGGATGAGATGGATCCCGTGGAAGGCAGATCCTTCAGACCCAGAACTGGGCAGAGAGTGTGTGCAGAGAGATGCTTCCCTTCCCCTCCAAAAACCACCTTATGTAGGAAAGAAAAAGTCCCTTCCCATAGGCCTGCAGACCCAAACCCAAACCCACCCAAAGAATCAGAAGCGGTTTCCTCCGTCCTAGGCCAAGAAGGAAGATGGAAGAAACCAAAGCAACAGAGACCACCCGTCTGAGGGATGCCAGGGTCTCATGAAATCCATCATCCCACCACCCCTCGCAAGAGCAAGGAGGTAGCCAGGGAATCAAAAGGACTGAGGAAGCAGGAGGAGAGGAGAGGAGAAGGGACAGGCAGAGAGAGGAGGAGGAGGAAGGGGAGAAACATGGCATCGCAAGATCAAGGGCTCTTCACCAACTCAAGGAGTCCAGGTTCCCCCCCAAGGGCTGCCAAGCTTTGCCCATCTCTTAGACAAAGCCTTCAAGGCTTCGCTCCTGCTCTGTCATGGTGGGTGGGGGGAAGAAGAGAGCCTGGCCTCGCTCTTCCATCCCCAAAAATTGCTCTGAATTAGATCATTTCCCTCAATCACCTCCCCCTACCGGCCGTTTCTGAGCATGCTCAGCTCGCCTGGGTGCTGCCATTTCATAACTGCATTGTTTACAGGCGGCACAACGACCTGCCATCTTTTTTTGACAGGAAAATAGAAGCTGGTGCTCACAAAGCCCCGGGAGGGGAGGGGAAGGGAGAGGGAGGGAGAGAAAGAGCCTTTACAGGGAGGTCTCACCGTCCCTGCCCCTCCCTCCCTCCCAAGGTCTCGTTTCCCCAAGGCTGGCTACTTTCCTTGCAACTTCCGAAAGAAGGAAGGAGGAGGACCAGTCTAGAAGTGTTTAAAGGGGAGGGGAAGGCAGCAATGGAGAGAGAGAGAGAGAGAGAGAGAGAAAGGAGAGAGAGAGAAAGAGATAGAGAGAGAGAGAAAGAAAGAAAGAAAGAAAGAAAGAAAGAAAGAAAGAAAGAAAGAAAGAAAGAAAGAAAGAAGGGAGGGAGGGAGGGAGGGAGGGAGGGAGGGAGGGAGGGAGGGAGGGAGGAAGAAAGAAAGAAAGAAAGAAAGAAAGAAAGAAAGAAAGAAAGAAAGAAAGAAAGAAAGAAAGAAAGAAAGAAAGAAAGAAAGAAAGAGGGAGGAGAGAGAGGAGAAGAAGGAAGGAGGGAGGAAGAAAGAAAGAAAGGAAGGAAGGAAGGAAGGAAGGAAGGAAGGAAAGAAAGAGAGAGAGAGAGAGAGAGAGAGAGAGAAAGAAAGAAAGAAAGAAAGAAAGAAAGAAAGAAAGAAAGAAAGAAAGAGGAAGGAAGGAAAGAAGGAAGGAAAGAGGGAGGGAGGAGAGAGAGGAGAAGAAGGAAGGAAGGAAGGAAGGAAGGAAGGAAGGAAGGAAGGAAGGAAGGAAGGAAGGAAGGAAGGAAATGCTTGGAAGATCCGTGCTCCAAAGCACCAACTCTAATAGGAAATAGGAGATGAGGAATCCCACTTGCCAACTCCAGATGCCACGGTGAGAACCAGCGCAAACCCCCAATTCCTGCCCACTGCAAAGACTCCATTCCACCCATCTTTGACCCCGGAGCTCAGGCAGACACAGGAGAAAAAAGAGCCAGGAAGATGCCATTTGCTTCTGAAAAATGCACTTGCTGAAGCCCAGCCTGTTTAGACGTGCACCCTTCCTTATTTTTATTATTATTATTCTGCAAAGAGCAAACTAAAGTCCATCTCCCTATGGGGGGGGGAAGGACACCCCAAGAATATTCTGCATGTCACCACACACACACACACACACCCTTCCTCGGTCCCTTAGGTCAAAACCTTTCCTTCCCACCAGGCCAAATTGGCAGATTCCTTCAGCAGAGAAGGGAGAAGAACCTAATGTTACAATCAGCCATTTTTTGTTGTTTCCTTTTATGTGTTTGTTTGGGAGAGCCAGGAACTTGTTTGCAAGTAGAGAGAAAAAAAAAAAAAAAACCTCAAAGGCGGATAATTTCCAGTGCATAAACAGAAGACCTATTATCATTTTTTTCCCTTCCGTTTATCCCATCAGGCTAGCTTCCTCTGTTTTGCAATTCACCCCATGTTTTCGGCACATGGAATTTCTCCCCCTTTTAGTGAGCGTGTCAAGGCGACCCATCAAGGACACCTCAATCCATGGTTGTTCTGCTCACAGACCTCAGAAGACATCTAGCCTGGGCGTGGAGGGAGGTGGCGAGTGGAAAGGAACAAATTGAAAAGAATAGTTCAATATTTTCAATATTTCAATATTTCAAATATTCTGAGTACAGGGAAGACCAGGTGACCGTCACGTTGAGAAGCTAGCTTCGCTTCTTGACGTATACCATCTCTCAAGAACGGTGGCAGGAATTGGGTAGGTCTACTTTAACGGGGGGGGGGGAAAGGACCAGGGGTGACTTGATAGCAGTCTTCCAATATCTAAGGGGCTGCCCCAAAGAAGAGGGGGGTCAACTTATTCTCTAAAGCACCCGAAAGGAGGACAAGAGGCAATGGATGGAAACTAATCAAGGAGAGAAGCAAGCTAGAATTGAGGAGAAATTTCCTGATAGTTAGAACAATTGATCAGCGGAAGGGCTTCCCTCTAGAAGTGGTGGATGCTCCATCACTGCAGGTTTTTAAGAAGTTAGGACAGCCATTTGTCTGAAATGGTCTAGCTAGAGTCTCCTGCAGGGGGGTGGATGGGAAGACCTTCAAAGTCCCCTCCAACTCTGTTATTCTGGAAGCCATAAAAACAGAAGCAGAAAGAGTTTGTCCTTGCAAACCCATGCGTGAAAAATGGGAAGGATCCGAGCAGGTAACCAATATCCACTGCCAATCACAGCAGGCTTCAGCTTCTTCAGCTAGAACTAGCCACCATTCTAGTTTCCAACTTCTGGAAGCTTCCTTCGAATCCATTGACTAAGTATACCCGCTTTCTATTTTTGAGACCTAAAGGAGTTGTACTTACGTCGTTTGAACTCAGGCACCCTGTTCGAAACCACAATTTCAAACATAAAAAGATGGCCAATCGTAGCCCGGTTTAACTTGCCCATGGTTAAACCCACCATATTGCACAAGGCACACAAAAACAGATGGTATATCTCTCCAGAGCTAGGAATCTGAGTGATCCAATTCCACAGGAGAGAGTTTCCTGTTTTCGAATTTCAACCATTATTCAGTCGTGAGGGACTATAATATTCTCGCATTTTTCCCCCTCTCCAAAGTCCAAGGACGGATAACGCAGGGTCAATAAGCAGATGTTTCAATCTCTGACATCTCACTTTAAGGGTTCAAAGGCTCTCCTGTTCCATATTAGGATGATCAATTGCTCTAGGTCCAAGTAACACTGTTTATCTCACTTTCCTACTTGGCTGGTGACAGATCGCCATTACCCCCCCCCCCAAGCTCAAGGCCAACAGATATTTGTCTCCTGAAATATTTATCTCAAAAGCAACTCAAACTCAACTTGAGATTCACTGGGGTTTCCTTGTTATCTGGAGTGTGTCTCAACCTATAAAATTCCAAAAGTTGTATCAACGTAAGGAACTCCACCTGACAGAAGATACCGGAAGATTCTTATCCTCTTTTAGACAATTTTGAAAGTACAGTGGTTCTCAACCTGTGGGTCGGGACCCCATTTGGGGTCGAACGACCATTTCACGGGGGTCGCCAAACAACGCAGTCCACCATTTTTTTCCCCCTTTTCCTTAGCTGTGCTACTCCCTTTTATTCTATTGGCTTTTGAAAGCCAATAGAATAGACTCTCTTGAATAGAGTCTAATTCTATTGGCTTTCAAAAGCCAATAGGAATTGTCCAGGCTGTCTC